TGAGTAAACTTAAGCTATTGAATGCTTGCAAGAAATTGACACAGACATTCAATTAATTAATAGTAGTGGTAGTAGTACTAAAACTAGTATTAGTAGTAGTGAGGCTTTTGTAGCTTTGTATGAAATGTATTTGGTTTATAATGTTTTGTTGCATGAATAAATATTAAATAAGCAGATTCCTGCATATGCCACCCATTGGGATGAGCTTTGCAGTATCTCGAAACGAGGACACTTTATTGTCTTTGATAACATTTGAGAACAGAGAGTACCGTTACAGCCATTAGGATATTTTGCTCTTACAGCGATGCATCGAATGTTGGATTAAATGTTGTAGTTACTTTTCAATTTCAACACCAACAAACCAAAGTTATTGGGTTCATAAAAGTTGACGCTCATAACGTTTGTTTATCATAAGGTTATTGATCTGGTATAACGCTGATAATTCCATACAAATTGGTCAAAATTATGTATTCCGATTGCGTTTGAGCACAGATAATATAACCCCTACTACAGATATCTGGCATCTGGCTGAGGCCGCTAGGCCGCTGCGGCTGAGGGACCTGCGGGGAGGGAGGAAATAGTTAAATTTTTACTCGCAAGGTGTCGTGAGCGTCCTCGGTGCGGTGCAGCGCTGTGCCGTCGCCGTAGCCGTAGCTTACGTTGTCAGATGCAGATAGATGTGTTGTCGATCACGTCACTCTACAACTGCCGCGTCAGTGCTGGAGAATATCGGTACAAACATCTAGCTTGCTCTTGCTGAAAACAAGACGATAACTGAATAGAGATATTTTGTTCACTAATCTCTCTACATGACACTTCATTATGTCCTAAGTTTCGAATATTGATATACAACTTGTTCAATCTCTATTCGAAATATAAAATAGTTTTTGTAAAATTTTTATAAAAATTTATAAAACAATAGATATATACCGTACAATAGATAAGATAATTCAATAAGTAATAATTTAATAGTTACTGTATGTAATATTTTCCAATGATTTCGTAATGGAACGCTATACTGTATTGCAGAACATGAGATGATGCAGAATAAAATAATTTTTTAAATCAGAAAACTACATTGTAAATACTTCTTTTTGACAAACTCAGTAACCCTCTATGTGTTGTTTAAAATACAATTTCAATATTAACAGCTGTTTCGTTAAAAGTAGTAAAAAATAATCCATATGACGATAGCGTAAACAAATCTGGGAAGGGAACTTTTAAAGGATTGCTTAAGGGTCAAACTTTTGAAGCCCTTTATCAAAATATCGTTTTAATTCCCATTTTGCGTTGCGCTAGATCTTAAGATTTAAAATTACACCTCGATCATAAAAATCTGTGAAGTAGCTCGGGTGAAAAAGGACTGTTACAGCTTATTTCATTAGGAATATAGATAATGTTAAACAAGACAATGACATATCACATGCGTAATACTAGATATTAGAGGGCAATTACTAACCGAAGAGCCGTTGATTTACATAAAACAGTCAATAAAATCAATTACAACAATGAATATTGGCCGATACGTGACAGAGCTGACCACGGGGGGTAGATGTCCGGGGGTAGATTTCCGGGGGTAGATGTCCGGGGGTAGATGTCCGGGGGTATATGTCCGGGGGTAGATGTCTGGGGGTAGATGTCCGGGGGTAGATGTCTGGGGGTAGATGTCCGGGGGTAGATGTCTGGGGGTAGATGTCCGGGGGTAGATGTCCGGGGGTAGATGTCCGGGGGTAGATGTCTGGGGGTAGATGTCCGGGGGTAGATGTCCGGGGGTAGATGTCCGGGGGTAGATGTCCGGGGGTAGATGTCCGGGGGTAGATGTCCGGGGGTAGATGTCTGGGGGTAGATGTCCGGGGGTAGATGTCCGGGGGTAGATGTCTGGGGGTAGATGTCCGGGGGTAGATTTCCAGTCGCGGGCTGTTTCTCGACCGTGTATAGGCCCCGCCCCTCGTGACGTCAAAATGACGTAGGCGTTTTTTCATGGGGGTAAATATCCGGGGTAGAAATCCGCTACCCCCGCGAACCTTTTGAGTTCATTATTTATTTTAAGTTAGTAGTGGTTATATTATCTGTGGTTTGAGCTACACACGGAGACGAAGAAAAAATACTGCGCATACGTGTGGGTCGTATTTACATGATTGAAATGAAAATCATCCTGCACAATTGAAAGACTATTACGCAATCTTAATTTACATCAATTAATGCTACAAATGATTAATTAATGCAATGAGATTAAATCTTGGAATCACTTAAGCCTATAACAAAACCACGAAATTTGTTTTGAAGGTGTAATGCGGGATAAACTAGAATATATATAAACACTTACATCATCGTTCGTAACAGTTCTTGAATACTTCTTACTACTTACTTGAATATAGAAAGTTCGTATATTCTCTGCTAGATAGCTCTTACATCGTGGTTCACAAAAGTGCACCCATTTTTATATTTCAAAATATTTCGCAAATTGGAAATGTTCGTTTAAAGGGTAAAAAGAGTGTGTTTTTTTAAACACACACAACTAGACTGTAACAAACTGTAGATTGTATTAGGTTGGGCGGTATTATTATCAACTATTGTACTTATGTGCTCTTTGCACTCCATGATAAATGAAATACTGTACTGTATTATTAATTTTTTAATATCTGCTTTTTGTCCATTTTTAATGGTACAATTTTGTTTTATTCAGCATTGCCTCCAGGATTGATTTAAGACAGTATAAAATAGGTTTACGGCCTTACGTCAAGGATTGACGACGTAAGGTACGTAAACCTATTTTATACTGTCACAATTTTGTTATTGAGTCTAGATTTTTTGAAATTAATCAAAGTGTTATTTATTTTTAACTTCGAAATTTTTAGTAGCCTTCCTAACCCGATTAAAGAATATTCAAATAAAATAAGTTTCTTAAGTCACTTCGCAGACACCTAATTGCTAGTGTAAATAGAAATAAGTGTTATGATACCTTAGTTAATTGTTTTTTATAAATAATGCTAATAAGATCTAGTAGTTCTACGGTTATGTGTGTTAATAAAATAATAATTTAATAACTTTTGATTTTGATTGTTTAGTTCTTCTCTATCCGATTTTTTGTCATCCATCCATTCTTATAAACATAAAGCCATGATCCTAATATTTTACAAATTGTATGTAAATGTCTTTTCGCCACAACACACAGTAAGCGTCTCTATTCAATACTTCTCTATACTATTTTTAGACCAGAATATAATTGTTTACAGAAAATGGCGGTAAAGTCAGCTGGAGTACCGTACATTCATTCACTTGTCATTCATGTAATAAATAGGCTTTAAACCTCTCTGGCCGGTCGCGCGTGATAGACTCGTTCATCGCAACCATGCAAATACAGTATTGCAAATCAGCCTTAGAGTTTATATCACTTCGATTGACGACTGTCAGCATGTAAAGTGCCTGATAATATTTATTGCAATAAATTAAAAATTTATTTACCACAGAAAAACAATGACGATAGCGTATATTGTGAAGTTACACCTTTGACATGTAACAAACACTTGTGTTTATATCGATGAGTTACACACGAAGTAGAGAGAAGTAAAAGTAACGGTGATGACACCTAAGTTTATAAGCCAATCGTCGCTCTCCGATAGAGTAACAACTCTCGGCTTTTCAAATATTGATACCGTACTTTTATAACTACAAGAGTTGATGCATTAACAGTGGCCAGTTGGGGTAGTCATGTTTTACTCGCCCAAAAGTTGTTGCGAGAGTCAACGGATTCAGAGGTTTCTTACATAGCTAACATGACTTTAAATAGATTAAGTGTACGTTATATTGTACGAACAGTTTGCGTTGATTTATTCTTTCGCTTAGGGATGAGTTTTTTGTTGGGTTTTATTTAATTTAAATTATATATAAACAAACACATGACGGTGGATTACTAAATAGGTTGCAAACGACTTTATTATACTATTTATTATAATGTTATTTATTTTATACTGAGCTATTAATATTTTACTAAAAAATGCATTTTAGTTATAGTTTTCTTGTAGCAGCAAACCTAGGTACTCATTAAACCTAATGTTATTTAAATAGATTTACGCCACACTACATTATTTTGACGAACTTCCCACGCAAGGATTTAGTCCAGAAAACCGCTGTTTGCCGCCAGCTTATTCAAATGGGGTTTCATTGCGTAATACTGTTCTGCAATGAGTTTTGCCGGACACCAATCAGCTGATTATACTGTATTTGCGTGGCAATGATTTAGTTATAAACAAAAACATAACCTCTCTTAGAGGTTATGACTAGTGATGTTTAGTCCTTTAGTTGGTGGAAGTATATATGGATTTGTACGAATTAAGTAGTATGGCGTAAACTATCGTACGTAACTCGTCCAAAATGTGTGTACCGGACTCGTATGGTAATCCCGTACTCGACTTCGTCTCGCACGGGAACGACCACACTCGTCCGGTAAACACTTATTTTCAGGACTAGTAACGTAATATACTATTATTTGAAAATCAATTGTATGTATATGAAAATGGAGTTTTCCGTCTGTAAATAAATACATAAATTCAGACAAATGGAAATTCGCTTAGTCGGCAGGTTTTCTGCGGCGGGGGTATTTTATATTATCACAGAATGGTAACAGAATGACATTAATTTAAAGTATGTTGTTATATTATTTTCTTATATTATCAACTATTGTACTTATGTGCTCTTTGCACTCCATGATATATGAAATACTGTACTGTATTATTAATTTTGTAATATCTGTTTTTTTGTCATTCATACCACAACTCCACAACAAAAAAAAAGTACATACACTACGATATACCAAATCTATGTTTCTTACTAACAAAAATCTATTCACCATTTAATTATCTTGCAAATAATATTGTGTTTACTGATGGACAACCACAGAGAACATTGAGGTCTCATGGGTAAAAATACCCAGACCGCCTTTTCGGCAAGGAGAAAAAAAAGGTAAATTCAATCAAACGTCAAAAATTGGCAAAATTGCTGATGATGGTTATGTCAGAGTCAGGGGTTGTCAAATTAAAATTCTCAGAATTACTATTTTGCTAAAATAATTAATATTGTTGGATGAGATTGGTTGGTGGAATTGCGGAATCATGGTAGGTAGAGTATGCTTAGCAATATTAAAAGTGATTTAGGCCTAAGATAGCATAAAATACAGGTCCAGAAATTAACCTTAAATTAATGAATTGCGTTTTAGCTTCAAACATAACCTAACTCATAGACTATTATTTCGTAGGATATTTGATAAAAATAATCCGTGGTAATGTTTAATATGAGGAATTCATTTCCAATATAATTTTTGACGTTATTGGACGATCAAAGTTTTAAATTTATTGTATTAAGTTAGGCCTAAGTTTAATTGCTAGATTTTCTGATCATTTGGATAGGCCCTTGATATGATTAATAGGCTAGGCTAGGCCATTTGTGTTTTACCCTTTTGTAAAATTTACTCTGGAAATTGTTCCTTAGAAATGGTCTGGATCTCTAGCGTAACAATAAATAAAAAACAAAACAAATCAGGTTCATCATTCGTTCAAGTTTTCTGTACCTACGATTGCAGGTCATGGTCCAATATTAATATTTTCTCTAATTTTAAACAATAAGCATAACTTACTCGTTGTAATTTGGCCTACATATCTTACAATTCTCTTAATGAAGACCTGAGCTTAACTTATACAACTTAGGCCTAGCCAAGGTTTAAATCTGTTGGGAATCAAACATAGGCTACTCCATTACATTGGGTCATTGTTCAATTTTTGATTAACAGATTGACAAAAATGTAAAAATGTAGACCCTTTGTCCTTTAAAATAACGGAAAACGGGCTGTGTTGACAAATGAATGAAGGCCTGTTTTCAAAGTGTGTATCACTACTTTTTCAATGTGCATTATTTGAAGTTGGTCAGATGTTCATCCTATTCTTTAGCTTTGCAAGGACTTATACTGCTTTAGATCTGTTCTTTAAACTGAATACTACCAGCAATGTATAGTTGGTGCACAGAGAAGTAAGGTGCAGAGGAAAAACTGAGGTACACACTGGCACCGGTAACATTCTAATGTCAACTACGTCTAGCGATATTATTTAATCTGAACAGTGACCATACAGTAGCAAATGAAGGAATGAGAGTCAAAACACCAAAATACTCAATATTCTATGGCCTTCATGTCCATGCAAATCTAAATGCTAACAAAATGGCTGCGACTAGCTGTATGAAGCCAAGTAAGTAGTTAGGCCTACTTTTCTTGGAAATTTCAGTTTGAAAGAGGTTGTGATGAAAATCACTATCTCAATCAACATGAAAGTAGGCCTAGCTAAAATTCCTCTAAACTACTAAAAAATGTAGTTCGCTACAGCTAAAGCTACAAAAAAGTAGTCCGCTACTACAGTGACTACTTCCCAAAACTGGTGTCTAGGGCGAAATCCAACACCACCCTCCTCGCCATCATGTACTAACGCTCATGGTGAAGGAAGACCTGTGTCCTTTGCATTATGAATTTCAGAGCAATGCTCATCGCTCAGGATCTTCCTTGCTCGTCACCAGTATATTTCCAGCACAACATTATAGAGCTGAAAGCGCACGGTTGTCCTATAAGAGAGTTTCCTCTTAACCTTTGTTCTCTGTGGTTTTTGGCAGTTCATTGCTAAGTAAAAGAGAATTGGCCAACAAAAAAGATTGAAGGAGTACAAAACCCTGGTAACTCACAAAATGTAAAAAAAAATCCCAAACTTTGTGTTGTCTCTGACATATGATATGTGTTTCTGCAATTATTGGTGATGATTCATTTTTGGCAGTAGACTGCATTAACGTCTAACTCGTCAACATGTGATCTCCATAATCATCTCTTACACTAAGAAATTTCTAATATAACGCTGTTCAGGATGTTAATATTTTAGCTACGGTACCTATTTTGTATTATCTTATTTTGTTATAGAAGTTCTTATTTTATTCTCTTATATATTACACCACATAGTGTCACATCTTCTTTTATTTGCAATATACACTATTAATACAATATAAATTAGGACGCTACACTCGCCAAGAGATTCAAGAGATTTATTGAACCATTAAGTAATTAATTGCCAAGTTTGTGACAAGGCAGCCTCGCAAAAGCGAAAACAGTCTTTTTTGTTGGATTCCGACAAGTACTTTATTCTCACCGTAAAGTACTGTCTGAAGATGAAACAACTATAAACCATCTGTCAACTAAGGTGTAACACAAACCCGTGACTGTGCGAGCCCGTCTGGCCACAGTCTGTGTGTGTATCGTCACAATATAGATGTAGATCATATATAAATAGTGTAGCCTATACTGTATATATGCCTAGTGTGAATAAAAGAAGATGCCACACTTTGTTGTGAAATATAGGCCTATCAGAGAATAGAATAAGAATTTGGTTCTGCAATATTAAAAAACTAGGTACCTACTACAAAAAGGAAACTCAAATACTATTTCAAAATCTTGCCACTAATAAACCAAAACAAACATTCGCTAAGATAAAATTCTAAATAAACTGCATATTTTCTGAAATTGAACACTTAAAAGGTATTCAAAACATCTATTTATTGGTAGAACTTTCCAGGGGGACGCTGCAAGGGAGAAATGGGACACAGAGACAATGAGAGAGCACAGAAATGACTGGAGCTTGGCAGCAGACATTCACCTTTTCTCTTATATGCAACAGTTTTCTCAGGTTTGTTTCTTGCTTAGTGAATTATCTTTTTAGACTAATATTATATTTTATTCTTTAGTTAAACCCTACTCAATGTACCTTAAACTGTAGGCCTAACTGTTCAGTGTAATACTTTAGTTACCTTAATGGAATTAGAATCACCCACAAGCAGGGTATAGGCTGGGATAAAATTTGTTTGAGAAAAATGCTACAAACTCTTGATCAACTGTATCAAAAATGTTATTCTTTAAGTATAAAAAAATTGCCGGTAATATTACATGTTTGAACATTACATATTCAATATTATTTAAGTAGCAAATTTGCTATAGCCTGCAAAAACAATGTATTTAGCTTTTTGAAGTTGTATATAGTTGTGTATAGCAAAATGCTAAAAATGCTACCGCAGCTTAAACCCTGCCTACAAGTATTTTTTTATATTTTAATTTTCTTTGTCAATATCTACGTCAGTGGCATTTAGCATAAAATAATTTTAAACCTTTTTTCTGGAAAGCAGTTTCAAACCCCAATTAGTCTTGATATACACCGGGATCAACCCAGTCTCTCCGATGTCGATTCCAACCCGTGGGGCCTGGGTTATAAAATTGTAACCAAGAAACTTGGCACCCGCTCTCCACCTTCCGTCATGGACAGGGTCACTATGGAGAGGATAGTTGAGTCCCTTTTCCCGGCTCATACGTTGTGCCCACTGCGGGATTTCGGAAGGGTGGACGACGTCCCTCTTTTCAGCCCTGAAGACGGCCGTCCTATCCCTGAAGAACAATAAGGCTTCTGGACCTGATGGGGTACCTACCCGGCGAAGTCCTCAAGAAGGTTTTGACAACTAACCTCTTGATCCTTTGGCGCATGTACAACGCATGCCTAGCCGAAGGAGTCTTCCCCTCGTGCTGGAAAACAGCTAGGCTGGTGCTTGTTGGGAAGGGGAAGGGAGACCCAGACCTGCCATCCTTCTACAGACTTTTGTGTATGTTGGATACGGCTGGCAAAGTCCTCGAGAAGATGATCCGTTCCCGGCTGAATTCAGCCGTGGTCGCTGCGGGGGACCTATCCCCTCGACAGTATGGATTCAGGATGGGGCGATCTACTGTTGACGCTGTTGAGGAGGTGAAGCAAGCCGTGATGAAAGCTGAGGATTTTAACCACTACTCTCGTAGAGTTGTGCTGCTCGTAACACTCGATGTGCGAAACGCATTTAATTCCGCGAGGTGGTGCGATATGCTGGATGCTCTGGAGAACACTTTCCACGTTACGGCATACCTCATGCGTATCATAGAGGATTATCTCTGGTTCCGCCTCCTCATGTATGACACTACAGAAGGCCCACGGACGATGAGTGTCACTTCCGGTGCTGCCCAAGGTTCCATACTCGGCCCAGACCTCTGGAATGTCGCGTACGACAGCCTTCTGAGGTCTGAAATGCCTGAGGAAACTGTTTTGGTTGGGTTCGCAGACGACGTTGCAGTTTTAATAGCTGTACGTAGCATTGAGCTGGCTCAGCTAAAGCTGAACCGAGTTATGCGTACCATTAATACATGGATGGCAGACCACAGTCTCTCGCTCGCTTTGAGCAAAACTCAGATTGTTTTATTAACAAAAAAACGGATTGACACCATCAAATCCGGCCCCTACTGCTGTTGAGGGTTGGGGCCGTCAAAGTCCAGACCGTTCGCTCTGCCAAGTACCTTGGATAGTAAGCTTAGCTGGCGGGATCAGATTTTCCGTACGGCGGACAAGACCGCTAGGGTGGTCCTCTAGGGTGAGGACAATTGGACCTGTGTGTCACATTACATCCAGGGTATTCCTCCATGCCAAGAAGCTCGACCTTGACCGGGATGCGGCGCAGGTCATAAAGTATCTAAATGGAAACGGTGAGAGCCCTGAGGGCTTAGGTCACATGTTAGCCTGACTTGAAGTAGTGTGACAAACAATTCCAGGTCTGTGTCCAACAGAGTAGAGGGGGTTTTTTTTAGTGAGTTGTCTGTGATAGATTCAGGAGTCTCACACTACAGGCTGGCTACCTGTGTGCGTAAAAGCATTTTCCCTCCTCTCCCTTAAAAAAAATATAAAAAAATCCCAGTCCCTCACACACCAACGTCCGAGACATAAAGCACAAGGCTAAACAGACAGACATTCAGCATTTTTAATACGCTACTTTATCATTAAATATTGTAAATACAGTAGAACTCCAATTATCCAAATCAATTGGGACCTAAACCCATTCGGATAGTCAAAAATTTGGATTTTGGATTTTATCTGAAATTCAGAGTCTTTTAAAGAAAATGGGCCTAGTCATGCCAAGCTTTTACTGTTGTATCCGTAGAATGTTCTGTGACGATTTCACGATCGGAAAATTCATGCTTTCACCGCAATCGCAGAGTACGTTTATGGTTTTCTGTGACTGCAGGAGACGATGATGGTGTCAAAACGACCTTGGGATATATTTGACTATCACTAATATGTATGTAATTGTTATTTGTGTATGTAACATTTGCAAATCAATCTTATATTATTCTCTATTTCAGAATCTGCTAAGCGAGACACACGGGACTTTGAAATGTCTGGATAATTTGGAATCAGACATAGCTACAACTTGTGTTGAGGTTGGCAACATTGGCAACCGGTTCTGGACGCTTTCGGATACTCAGTTCGTGGAGAACCGAGTGTATGATGATGATGACATTACCTCTCCAACTGCCCCACCAACGCTTCAGGTAGTATATAAGTTCTGTAGTATCAAAATCTGTCAGCTGTTCTCATTTATTTAGATAGTTCTCGCTATGGGCGTTTGATGTGGCAAATCGCACTGATGTTAATCCCGCAATATTGTTTTACTTACGTTTTCTCCTATGTGTGGGACAATAATTATTTTCAAAGGGCTTTGGACTGCTGCAACGGTCAGCTACCTTGTCTACGGTGTAAATGTTATCTGTGTTTTAATAATCCACCGAGTCGTGAAATTATGTTTTGTGTCCAAATCTGTGTGATATTGTCTTTTATGACTAACCGATGTAGTTGAACACCAACCCATGTTATTCTTATGGAAAATAAAAAAAAACTGTTGTAGTTAGTTTGTTTGTAGATATATATATTTTAATCAAATTTGACAATTTAGTTTATTTTATACTAAGCTATAAACATAAAAAATAAAAAAAAACACACATCTAATTTTCCTGTAACAGCAAATCTAAGTACCCATTAAAATTAATGTTTTTTTAAATAGGAAATAAATCTGACAATTTAAGAGAATATTTTAATAGAAATCTAGCAAGGTAAATGGAAATTTGCTAAGTCTGCAGGTTTGCTGTGGTGGGGGTACTATACTATTGTTTATATTTTATTGATTCTTACTGTTCTTAGATACTGATATTTGGCAGTCATTTTTTAAATTAGTGGTTAGGTTTGAAGTGTTTTATGTTATGCTTTTTTGATTTTATTTTATGTTTAAGTTGATCATATAAAACAATCCACACAACTGGTAATTGCACAAAGAGTGAATTAGTAATTGGGTAAGCATGAATTAGAAATTTACCATCTGTAATTTAAAGTGATATGGATTATTAACGACTCACAAATAACAGGAATGGCTTACACCTCAACTTCAAAGGTAAAACCATCCTGTCCAATCTTCTACTAAACAAACTGAGTCAGTCTGAGGCTCCCACTCCTAGACAGCTGTTCCCTGTTGGCTCTTCCCACACTCTCCGTTCTCGTACAATTTCTTCAAAACATTTTTTAGGCGAGGCTCGGAAACCGGAAGGAGTACCCTGGTCGCATTACCTCAAAAAGATCATAAGAGCAGTACCAAAAATCACCTCAAAGTAGTCCACCAAAATATTAGAGGGTTGCTTAACAAGATGGACGAACTTGAAATTTTCATAGATGACGAGCAGCCCGATATCTTATGCTTGTCTGAACACTTCTTGAAGAGCTATGAAATAAAAAATCTTATAATAAAGGGGTTTGACTATGTTAATGCGTACTGTAGGTCTAATACGAATGGTGGTGGAGTTTCGATTTGGTGTCGCCCCAAAATAAAATTCGACCCACTCGATGCCACAGAGTTCTGTATCGAAGGTGAAAGTGAATTAACAGCAATGTCAATTAATTTAGATGAGAATGAGAGGTTACTAATGGTGGCAGGTTACAGGCCACCCTCAGGCCAAATAGACACATTCTTGGATTGTATAAATGACCTCTTAGATAAGTATTCAGCCTCTCACTCTAGAACTTATGTGCTAGGGGATTTTAACATCGACATATCTACTGACAGTTTTGATAGTAGGAAATTAACTGCGACTATGTCGTCGTTTGGTCTCCTAAATGTGGTCCACTCCTATACACGGGAAGCTTTGGGCTCATGTACATTGATCGACCACATATTCTCAAACGATAATAACAACCTCAGGAGCGATGTCATAAAATCTTGTCTGTCCGACCACTATGCTCAATCAATTTTGATCAACACTAACTTGCCTGCTGATCGTTCAGGAGCGAAATTTACGTACGCTAGGAGTTTTAATTCCACCAATATAGAGACTTTTAAACATTGCCTTCAGCTAGAGAACTGGGGAGATCTGTACGAAGCTGAGAATATTGATAGTAAGTTTAATGCTTTCAATAGTACATTAAGTTATCATTTTGACATTGCATTTCCAAAAAGAATTAAAAAGCTTGATTCAAAAAACAAAAGACGAATTTCATTTTCAGCTGAACTTTTAAAGCTAAAAGAACAATGTCTTGTATACTATGAGAAGACAAAGCACCTCAACTCTGATAACGTTCTAAGACAATACTATCTGAGATTAAAAAATGAATATAGAAAACTAATTAGAGAATTAAAGACGAAAATGGTAATTGCCGAGATTGAAGAATCAGACAGTAAAACTAAAGGTATTTGGAAAGTAATAAATGAAAACAGACCAAGAAAAAAGAAGGCAATGGATAGTATTTGTATTAAGGATGACAGTGGTGGTGTAACCATTACTAATCCCAATGAAGTGTGCAACAGATTTAACAGTTTTTTTGCTGAAGTTGGTAGCTATAACAACAAAGGTGCGAGAAATCCTCCTAACTCCTGTAATTTAAACAATAGAAATATAATATCGTAATTTTTCTTGAAACCAGTGACTGAAGAAGAAATCAAAAGCATTATCAGTGAGCTAAAGAATAAAAGATCCTCAGGAGTTGATGAAATATCTCCGAAACTACTGAAAACCATTTCAGGTCTGATCTCATCACCACTCTGTCACATGATTAACTGCTCCTTCGTTGAGGGAAAATTCTCTTCCAATCTAAAACTGTCAATAGTAAGACCCGTTTTCAAGAAAGGGGACAAAACCAGTTGCAATAACTACAGGCCTATTAGTTTAATATCAACCTTTAGTAAAGTATTTGAGAAAGCAATGGTTAATAGATTATGGAGTTTCCTAGAGTCCCAAAACATCCTATATGAAAACCAGCACGGATTTGTAAAAAACAGATCGACAACCAGTGCCATGCTTGGTCTCATAAACAGAGTGGTGAGGGATATGGATTCACGTCAGAAAGTAGCAGGGATGTTCTTTGATTTTAGCAAAGCTTTTGACCTCGTGAACCATGATATACTGTTGAGAAAAATTAATGATCTGGGCATTAGAGGAGTAGCTCATGCTTGGTTTTCTTCGTACCTGAAAGACAGGCGACAGTTTGTTATGATACCAGCTGTAAATAAAAGTGGCTACTTGCAGAACCATTCCTCTTCAGAAGTCCCAGTCAGGAGAGGTGTGCCCCAGGGTTCCGTCTTGGGTCCGATTCTCTTCCTTATCTTCATAAATGATGTTCCATCCAGCTTGAATCTTGCAAACATATGCCTTTTTGCCGATGACACTTCTATCACCATTTCAAATCCCAGTATTCAGGCCTTAGAACAGACCCTATTTCTTGAATCCAACTGCCTGCTTCAGTGGTGTGAGGATAATGAACTAATCTTAAATGCCAACAAAACCACACTCCTTCAATTCAGCATTGCTCAGCATCGCACATCCACTGACATACATGTTCTTCTTGATGATACCACTATTTCCCCCTCCCCAGATGTAAAGTTCCTTGGTTTAATTCTAGACGAGAACCTCAAATTTCACAAGCATATCGATCACGTTTCAAACAAGATATCTGTTGGGATTTTCATGCTCCGCACTCTTAGACATACTGTTTCGTGTGAGGTCCTCTTGACAGCCTACTATGGACTAGTTTATCCTTATCTGACATATGCTGTACCTGTCTGGGGGTGTGAAAGCCAAAGGACTCAGTTCATATTCAGGCTTCAAAAAAAGGCTCTCCGAACTGTTTTTTCCCTTCACCGTCGTCAATCCTGCAGAGATGTCTTCAGATCACATAAAGTTCTAACTTTCCCTTCCATTTACATTTTAGAAACATTATCATTTATCAAGAAAAACCAATCATCATATAGCTCTCTAAGTATCCATAGTTATCGTCTCCGCAACAATTTCAATCTTTCAGTACCACGACACTCAACCACTTTCTTTCAGAAAAATTTCCACTTCAATGCAGTAAAAATTTTTAATGACCTCCCTCTCCCTTTGAAAGCCGAACAGGACATCGGAAAATTCAGGAAATTTGTTAAGTCCATGTTGATAAATAAGGTCTGCTACAGCGTCCGGGAATTTCCTGGTAGTCTTTAACCTTATTAAACATAAAAGAAAACAATTTGTATATAATGTATTTAGTAGTTAATTAATTTCATAAAAATGTAATCTCTTGACTTGGCCAATGCAATGTATTGTTAATCTGGTTGAATAAAGGACTTTGACTTTGACTTTGACAACTACTGTAACATTATATTTCAAGGGTGCCCCTAAAAACTGAAATTGTAAAATCCTACATTGCATTTTTGATGTATAAAAAAAACTTACTACCACAGTGTTGTTTAAAGACTTAATTTTTTGGAATAACATAAAGAATATCAAATATCCAGTCAATGTTTTGTTGTATTTAGGCCTAATGATGTAAACTGTAATGTTTAAATTGATTTTTGTTACATTCCAACTGCTTTAAGATATTTCATTTTAACACCAATACATTTTCTACTACTGTTTTCTTTTAAAACTTAATAATATCAACCATTTATGTAATAGGTCTTTTAAAGTGTGTTTTTCATATGAGGGCTGTCAAGAAAGTAACAGATGTTTTGTTATAAAAGAACGACAAAGTAAAAAATTATAATTTTATCTAGGTAGACTCAAGCTATTTTTCTACATAAACACTATTCAAATTGATACATTTTTTTTACTGCATTTATCATCTCCTATGTCCCCAAAAGAATTCAAATCAGTCAATTCCATTAACTGCCATTTTTTCACAGTTAATGTACAGGATGCGGCTAAAAAACCGATCCATTTTCTGTAGCGACCTGTTCAGCGACAGGTCATCTGAGGGTGGTGGGAGAAGGCTCATTAGAAAGCCTATGCAATGTCATTTTGTGTAGTCATAGAGCAGTGGTGATATGAGCTACGTGCGGTTGTTATCGAGTCGTTTTAAAAACTAATGGTTTAGTAATTGGAACTCAGCGGCAGTTCCGTGCTTTTATTCAGTTAAGTCGACATAGAGAGGTTCCGTCGTGATAATCTGTATGGGTGATTACCAAATTATACAGATTATTATTCTAATCCATAGGGATGAAAATTAACCTCAACATTCGTATAAATGAGCGGTCAGACATGTTCAAGGCAGCCGCTTGTTTTCGGGCTGGCTGCAAGGACTGTTTTCCGTAGCAGCACAAACTCTATTGAATGTTTGTTGTCTGGCGTCCGATCTGACTTTGGAAGGCCTGTCAGCTTCCTTTTTAACGCAGAAGCCATCGTTCTAAAGTAAGTTACCCACCGCATTATTGTGCTACGCAACGGAACTTCTCCATGTCGCCTTAATTGAAAGAATGCATGAAACCGCTGAGTAGCAATGAATGAATTCACTATTTCATAAAAACGACTCCATAACAACTGCACTAGCTCAGGTGACCACAGCTCTATGACTATAAAAAATATCATTGTGTACGCTTTCCAACGAGCCTACTCCCACCACTCTCGGACGACCTGTCGCTGAACAGTGCTCTTCAGAAAATAGATTGGTTTTTTTGCCGCACCCTGTACTTTACCTAAGTCTCAATACCTCCATGGAATTTATTCCTAGCCAGGTATACCTTTTCTTTATATCATGTAAGACATTTAGCATTATACACAACAAAAGGTTGTATTAACTGAATTTATATTATTTGCAGGTTAACCAAACTGAAGACAATGAAGCCGTGGTCATTCAAAGATTGAGGGATGCTATCCAAAACGGAATTCATGTGTTGGATTCAAAGTTTGAAACAGTTCAAGTTCCTGCTAGTGACTCTGATGAAGAAGACAGCTCTCCTCATAGGTGAATACATTAACCCAGACAATCTGTCATTTAAAAAAAATGTACCGGTAGCTTAATTTTGAATCATCAAAGTATGTTTTACTGTAGGGTGTCACAACTGTATTATTTTGCGAGACCTTACACCTGAAAGAAATCTGTTAGGTCCCAACATCCGCCAGCTGATAGGGAATCAATTCTAACTCAAATCAACCTGGGGTATGTGTAGGATCTGTTAGGTTAGGGACAGTTCTCAGTGAATCAATATTCATGTAATACCTCAATGTAATACCATCTTTCTTATATACATACTTTATATGCATTTTAACCAGTCATTCTATAATTGATCAAATACACACCAAAGAAAACTTTGACAACTGCTCTCGCTTATAAACCTCAAACTTCACATTTTACTACTTGCGTGTGTATGAAGCACACAGATTGGTGTTGTAATAGTAGTTTACGCAATGATCGTGCAAAGATAGTGTTAACGACACAAGTATAAATTTAAGGTAGGAGCCTTAAACAATTCTACTTTACCTAAGGCCGTTTTTTATTTACTAACAATCACTACCCATAACTTCTAAGAGAGGTTATGTTTTTATTTATAACCTCTCATTGTCACAGACAGTGATGCAACGAAACCTTGTACCAAACAGTCATTGCACCACTCACTAACAATTAAGTCACAACATTAACATTTTATCAGTACAGATCACTTTTGTACTGTACCGGCTCATTCCTTGCTTTGCTGTATACGATCCCTGCACGGGTGGTTAGTCTATGTGGACAGGCAAATGCAAGGTTAAAAAAGGCCAACCTCTTAAAAAAAAAAAATTGGTCTTAAAAACAGCTGATGAGTTGCCGTTCGAAGCATTACAATTTGACTTCTTCTCTCTCAATCCTTGAACCTCATTGGTCCATTGTGTTGATAAGTAAAAAAAAAATGCTGTTAAGTGAATCTTTCAATGCTAAGAACTGAACTGAAACAGATATTAAAAAAAGACGGTCGTTTCTGGTAAAATAATTAATCAGCACACTAGTCTAGAACAAATTATACTGATAGAATAGTAAATATAAAAACCTCTTACCAATGCAATATTGGCATATAAATAGAAAATATTTTACATGCTTACGTTATTACTACAAAAATGACACTTCAATCACCAATTAATTTTCATTTTTTTTTGTATCAGTTCTGTTCTTTTATTTCATATTAAGTAAAACTCCTTAAGTTAACAGAAAATGAATAAAAAATATATGTTTGGTCATCCCAGGATTAAAAGACACTATATCCTTAGGATTTAAATGTGTCAAAAATTGGCTAGGATCCTGGGATTGAGACCCTAAGGGTGAGCAATAGATTCTATTAAGTATAAACACAAAAAAAATGGATTTTAAAATGATAAAAAACAAAAGAAATCAAATCTTTGTTTCAGTGGTGTTATACTAAAGCCAGTCAACAGATACAAGGACAGAAGACTGCCACATTTGATTGGGTCTGCTGAGTTTACGGCAGACGACACACTGGGCTTGCGAGAAGTTCCGAGTGACGAGGAAACGGATGATTTTAAAAGTGCTAGTGATAAGGTAAACGGATCTTTGATAGTCTTTGGTTAATTTTTAAAGTTGGTATTTAATACGTTCGCAACATCATGCACCTGATCGGGTACACAAGTGCTTTTGAAATGGCGAGTGTGTCCCCAATTAGATGAACACAGTAAATTAATTACTTAAGTACGTTGGGTGCCCGAATGGGTACCTACACACTCTTTAGGTTTCTACGGACTATTAATGATAAACATAAGTTGCATATAATATTATTTATCTGCTTGGTTCAAATACAATACATATTCATGTTAAAACTAAGCTGCATAAGTATTTACGTGATAAACAAAATTGCTAAGTAAGTAAGTACCCAAAGAGCTCTATTTGAGCTAAGATGACTGTTATGATTGTTACCCGTGTATGAAAGTTGAAAGTGCACATGCCGCCGGTTGATCACTCATTCAGTAGACCTGTCGTGTATCCAATTGGGTACATTCACTAAAATATCATAAAAAATGACTAACAGATTTTTTAAAAGGCAAAAGCCAACTTTATTTGTCAATACACAGCAAAATTTACAAAATATATGAGAACGGTTTTTGGTAATGTTTTGTGTAAATTTGCCCCGACTAGTACAAACCAGAATTTTTACTGCCTACAGGGTATCTACCAACCGGGAAATCCGGGAAAACCGGGAATTGTACTTAAATTTTTACTGGCCATGAAATGTACGGGAATTGTCCTTAAATTCCAGACAATGTCCTTAAATTTTTAATGGGCCATAATTTTATTGATCGCTAGTTGGTTAGGAGCACATAAAAGGTTTATCAGATGTTTGTTTACATTTTCATAATTTAGTACTAGAGTAATTATGCAATAAAAATCCCATTAACAATCTCAAACCCATTAATATTTTATCACGACAATCAAGTGTCAAGTCAAGTACTTCCAAGAACTGTTGACTCAGCAGCTAGCTCATAAAAGTTTTATCACTTTTATTCCTTTACAACTTCTTTTTTTATTACTAGAGTAATTATTATTAGATCCCAAACCTATTTTATGTGAAAATAATAGCTTTATAATGGCTGTTAAATTTCACTTCTTACTTGTACTTTCGGCTTGCCGCGGCCAGTGCCTAGTGCCATAAAACTGTTTATGGTTTCATATTAAACATGTAAATAATCTACAGTCTTATTTCGTAAGTTAACCCCTTTTTTTATGGACATTTTATCTTTCAATTGACAAAACCACAAGCATTGTTGTTTGCATTAATGTTTTATCACTATGTAGGCCTGCTTGGTTTCAAATTATTTCATTGCATTTTCTGTATCTTTGTCTTATATTGTTGGCTATTCAGGTTTCAATGTTTTTTGTTTCCCATATATTTATTTATTGAGTTGTATGCTTTAAGCAATCAAAATCTTATGAACTAGAATGATGATAGTAACTTTGCTGCTATTATAACCTCATTGTTTGTTACTCAGTTTATATAGGCCCTCCAAAATAATTAGGTTTAGGCCTGGGTATTTTGATTCTTGAAAGAGCTGTAAAATATATTAAGAAAATGTAATTGAGCCTAAGATAAACAACTAATGATTGCTATGTGTCGATATTAACTTTACAAATGAAAATACAATAATCTTACTCTGTGCTTATTGCTTATTAATAGCCGCTTACCATACCTTGATTTTGTACTAAGAATTGAGTAACAATATGCATTAAAGATTTTTTTTCAAAAGTAGTCGAGAACCTAACGTTGTGCCAGGGCGAATCATGCCAAATTAATCCGCCTGGATCGGATAAGCTATGTTATGAAGTTTATGTGACGGATGGAGATATTTGTCGCTATCGCAGGAGACAATGATTGCGTTTCTCTGTTACACTATAAAAGCTTTACCTAAAGTATAGGTAGGCCTATGTTTGTTTACTTTCAATAAATTTCTATTTTGTAATTTTTAACTCTTATCTATTATTATTTACTTTTCTCTCTGGTACAACTACAGTGAATAACAAGATTAATACAGTTTGACAAATCAGGAAAATTATTCGGTAGGCCTAATGACACCGACAAAGGTTACGGCAAAGTGTCCTTAAATGTACGGGAATTGTCCATGAATTTTTTATCCAGAATGTAGTAAACACCCTGTGCCATCAAATGTGTTAGTGACAATTTCCAAAGTTCTGTAAGGCAACAGTCAGCCACCAACTAACGTGGTGTTGCTGCATAGACAAATGGACTAGGTCAGAATTAAATCCATATTAGGGTTGATTCAACAACCTTCAGGTTTCACAATGAGCTGTTGCGTTACGTAGCAGCTCGCAGGATCATTGTTACCCTATCAATTTAGTTTGTATTTAGTTAACCTGTTGTAAAGAGTGTAGCCTATAAGAAATTTTACTTTAAATAATATTCCCCAAGGTGTATATTTAGGTAGGGATTTTTTTGTCCTGCCAAAAGAATAAGTAGTTTAATAGTATATTCCATTACTAGTGCCAAAAGTGACATTTTCTGGTGTGCGCTCAAGTTTTAAGTGTGAGGCAAACCTAAACACAGGAACAATTGGAGCAAGTGATGGATAATTACTTTCAGTACAAGCTATGACCGATACTTATTGTTGTGACAAATAAATATATACAGAATAATATACCTCAGTAAAGTTAAAACAATTGTATTGTTAATTAACATTATTAAAATATGAAAAAAATTAAATGGGTCATTAAAACCTACCTGATAAGGTAAAAATTACAAGCTTAAGATTTTATCTATTGTGCAGTAAACACACACTAAAACACACAAAACTATTTAATGACTGTTCTTGTTTTCATTTAAATTGCTGAACAGTAAAAACCGCCGATTTTATTTGTAAAAACAAATGGCAAATATACATTAGTGCTCATAGTGGGCAAATGGAGAATTGACTGAGAGCGAGGGAAATTAAATTTAGAGCAAGGGAAAATCAGCTTATTATTTTTCTTGCTCTGAATTAGAGCTTGGAAATCAATAATTTCTTTTATCAGTTGTTATCAAAAATAGCTACTTTCTGTACGGTACAAAAAGTGATGACAACTATCTTTCTATCCTTGACTCAAATGTTCACAGTGAATTACAGGTCCTACGGGATATAGCTGCACTATTAACATGAGTGGAAACATCATGCTTATTGTAATGTGGGCTGTGTCAACTGTCCTCAGGACCTTTCGGTCTGATAATGTATATTTTACCTATGTCTACACTTTAATGCTTTGTACCGCAATAAATGTTTGAGTTAATATTTAGAATTTGGTACATGGTTGAAAGCGGTTGAAAACTGTCAAAGAACAAATACAAATTATAGGACTATTTTGTGTGTTCTGAAGAAGTAGTTGAGTTGAGCTTGACTAGTAATCACAAGTTCGCCCGTTTGATCCTGAGAAAAGAGTGTAGCTTTTTGATGGTTCGATACTGGACTCAGCTGTCTTTGATCATTGCAATTAAATGGTCCTGACTAATGAAACAGCTGGTCTTAGTCAGTAACAAAGCTACAAAGATCATCTCACTCCATTCTACACTCATCATTCACTCACATTCGGGTTAAAATACACACCTTAATTTATGTCAGAATGTAACGTAGGCTGCATTTTTTATATAGAGACGTTCATTATATTTGTTACAGTTTGTTATATTAACAGACCCTTCAACCATATTACTTTCGATTTCAGAGTAATGACAGTGTAGAAGATAGCGAGGATTCAGATGTTGAAAGTGACCAACCCAAGGCTCAACATATCCTATTTCCGAAACCAAGCAATAACACGTTTGACCCTGTGAGTATCTTTATCTAAGACTGGATTTAATTCTTATTTTGTGATCCTACTAAGTATTAAAATGTTGGCAATACACTAAATAAATTAAATAACATTCATACAATGATGTTATTGTTGTGAAAAACGCAAAAATCAAATTTGAAAAGTGGTACAGTAAAACCTCACTTACTCGACAATTTGTGGACTCAGAGGTTATTGAGTTTTGGGTTTGTCAAGTAATCCAGAACATTGCAATTTTTAATGGTTTTTAATAAATGAATACATAAAAGATTAATTTTTAACATTTTAACATATAAATTTATTACTTACTTCGTTATTTTTACATATTGAGTAAAATATCTTCAATGTATCTTATAAAAAATCTTGAGCCGTCCTTGAAAAGTCGAACACACGATTAAGACAAAGCCAGCTAGATGTGTGCCCTGTCAGCTGTTGACTGTCGAGTTAGCAAAGTTTTACTGTAGTCATGTGTCAAAACCGAATCTCAACACTCAAAAAAAGTTAGTATAATGATATAGTATAATGATTCTAAATTGTATTAGAACTTTTGGCGTTATTCAATATTTAATACAGATTTGAACTAAATACTTGTGTAGATGTATATTTAAATTGATTACATCATAAGGTTTTGACTTCAACTTTCACAAGTTGCATATTTTACTGATTCAATTTTTAGGTCCAAATTTTAACTGATTATATTTTAGTGTGGATTTGGAGTAATACAGTTTTCAGCTACAACTTTTTATTAATACAATTTTTAAGTGCCTTTTTTTAACGGGTTACAATTCTTTTCAGCTCAATCTCAAACTACCTGGTTTAGAAGCTCAAATGAGCTCCAATGCCTCTTCACCACCCTCAGGTAAGTTTAAATCTTTAAATTTTAATTACAGCCAAGTGGTAACAATTATTTTGACCGACCAAATTTGGAAGGAGGACACATGATTTTTAGTCAATACTTTATTTTATTTTATGATTTATCATTGTGGTGTTTCCAGACCAAATATTGACAATTAAATAAAACATTAAAATACCTGGTTGTCGCCTTGTGGTCCAAGTTGTCCTACTTGATTATGTGTATTTCGGCACGAACACCATCCTTAGATCCATAGTTTAAGAACACTAATCTTGCCTGAAGAGGTGTGCTGAAAGTTCACAAACGAGACACAAAAACAAAAAAAACGATAGTCTACTAGTAGTACCTTGCTAAAGAGACTCTCAGGGGGGATTATCAAATAAGACTTGTTATCAAGGTTGACTTCTTATCGAGGTTTGCAATAACATGTAACTAGAGGGTAAAATAAATTCAAGGGGATTTGAAAATGACTCTTGTCATCAAGGGTTACTTGTTATCGAGGGTCTTGTTATCAATGTTCCACTGTATTTACATTTAACATTAAAATCATATTTATAGACGATTGTCAGCGTTTAAAATTGCTTGTTAAATCCATTATTCTTCACAAAACCTGTTTTAGCGAATTTCCCATATAGGGAATAAGCTATTACCGTAGGACTCATGATAAGACCTGGACTCGGGACTGATTTACTTTATTGTTTCGAGGTCCCTAGAGATCAAGATAACTCAAGCAAAAATGATCCAATTTTTATGAAATTTGGTATAAACGTGTAAACCCACATTTATTCGAACGAGTTTGCGAACCAGCATGATCAGACTACGGAAACAGGGATTTATGGGGGGGTTTTTTGAGGTAAAAATTGGGTTTTTCCCATTTTTCACCCAAAAAACAAAAAATTTTGCAATTTCTTTCCAAACCATTTTGTAGAGCTTAAGAAAAAAATAATTTAGCATATTTAAGCGTTATTATGCGCCTAATGGTTACGGAGAAAATTCCAAAAAATTGTTAATTTAAAATTCTCATGTTGTTCTTACGGAGAATAAGTAAACCTTTGTAGTTTGTTTGATTATGAACATGTTTTGATCAAATTTGGAAAATGCATTTATTTCTTACTAAACTATTCACATTTCACAAAAAAAAAAAAAAAAAAAAATCACTTTTGACTTTTACCCTCCCTGTTGCAGCAAACCTTAGTCCTTGTTAAAGTAATTATATTTAAATAAGGAATGAATGTTATATTTTTAAGAAGACAATTTTAGTGTGAATCCAATCAGGCAAATGGAAATTCGCTTAGTCTGCAGGTTTGCTGCGGCGGGGGTGTTTTTAGCTTTACTGTGTTTTTTTTTTCACAATGACGCATGATTGTTTATACAAAATAAGACAGTAATCAAAGATTGTTATACATAATTTGAAGCTTATTTATATATATTTTTTACTAACACTCGATAAAGCTCCAAATGTTGATTTTATTTTTGTTGTAGTTAAAAGTTTAAAATTTTAACAATTAAACTTATTTATAATCTCATACAACATGATGAATCATGGGTATTTACAATGAATTGAGGATTTAAAAAATAACCCTAATATTAACAATTAGTCTTGTTTAAAATTATTAATATAGGTCTCATTAAAAAATTGCCATTATTTGTTTTAAATTAGTATTTATTTGTTTTAAATTAGTATTTTATTTTCCGACTGTTTTGAGCTGATAATTTCAAAGTAGTTATAATTCTATCACTCATGTAGTTTTACACATAGCTTTTTCATCTTATAACCAGACCTCTTTATGTATATTACAAACTTTTTTCATACAATAACACTTGATATCTCTGCAGTTTAAAACTTTGGATTGTTATCCTGCAGATAGCCATTAACATTTATCTCAAATGATTAATAGCCTCAACAAGTGGTTCAAATGTTTCTGTAAACATCATGACTGAGTGTAACAGACTGTTACTGTTAGTCACTCTTACGTTACGTATCTATTATAATATTGCTTATTTTGTGTACCTACACTATGTGAGAGTTGTAAATATTGTTTAAGAGATTTATGATTTATGGTTGTGTGGTTAATACATCAAGTCAGTGATGCAAGTATTTTTATTCTAAACATTGCTTTTCAACTAGACTAACTTTATTTCAAGGTTAAACTTTCTGTGTGTTAGGTAAATTGCAATAAAACACATTACTGCAGGTTTTCCTGTGTTATTTAGGTATTGTTAGAACATAATAAGTGTCACACATTACATTTTTTTTTCAAATAAAACTTTTTTATGTGAATGGATTCATAAAAGAATAACTGATTTCGTAATGGATTGGCTACAAGATTGCCAGAATCCATGAATAATGTTTGCGTTTAACAGCAATTGCATCAAACTAAAAAAGTTTGATCAGGTATTGATGTAAGTAACTTAAACCTTTAGTTTTGCTGCAAAGTTAAGGTTAAATATACTTGTACCAATGTCAAGTAATCCTTAGTAGTAGTGTGTATATAGTTATTTCGTGGTCAATATGAGTTCATCGTCAGGTGTTTCGGATACATCTTTCTAAATTCACTTTAAATATTTGAAACAAGCCAGGTTTTGAAATATATTTAAAGCGATAATATTTTTTTCACTGAAACAAATTTCTTGTGCAGATTTACAAAATGTACAATGAAATTGGGTTTCGTTCATTAAAACAACCTTTTCATCTTGCAGGAGCTAAAACCGTTTAACTGTTTTGCATTTAAGTTTGACCTGGGCTTAGCCTACGTTGCTAGGACTCTTAAATCCTTTAGTGAATACAAATATGTAACTAGTATTGTTGATATTTATTGCAATATTTTCCCAGGAGAAGGCTCTTTGGTGACTCACAAGAAGCCAACGTTTTCCAGCTGGCAGCCTACAGATCTTTGGGCATCTGGTGAGTGTTGGGACTATCTTTCTGCCTTAATCATAGAATGTCAAAGTTGTGAGCTTCTGTAAAACTACATGCTAAAGTCAGTCAGTGACCATTATCTTATAGAGACTGAACCTTCTTTAAATTTCCCTATATTGCATTTTCAATGTTATGTGTAATACAAAAGTGTAAATATAAACCTGTTTATAGAATTCTCAAAATTTACTAAGTTAGGTGTTGAGGAACAGGTGAAGGTTAAAAAAACGAGCTTTTGTTTTGTTTTTACCGAAAGTAAATAAAAGATACGTCTAATAACACTAAAACATATATTTACGGTTATATTCTTGATTCACAAGACGGTAAATGTACATAAAAGATGTTAAGTGGTGATCGATTTTGATTGGACTCTCCAATCATTTTCAGACCCAATAGGCGAACGACCGAACGTCTATAATCCCGAAACCTCTCTTGTGGTCGTGTAGACATAATCATCGTCTCCCGCAGTCACGTTTTCTGTGATCGCAGCCAATTCCTGAATATCGCCCGCTGTCGTGTAGACATCATCTTTGTTTCCCGCAATCACGGAAACAATGTAGTCTATTTCCATTATTGCGACAAAATCTTGAATATCTTCCTAGGTCTTGTAGACCATTATCTTCATCTCCCATGATCACAGAAAATCATAATCGTCCTCCCTGACTACGGCAAAATCGTGAATTTTTTATCTTGAAATCTTCGCAGACCTGTTCGAAGGCCGAGCCGAGGTAAAAACTTGACTCGACTGTAAAATATATCATGTATATCTCATGTATGTATTTTCTGTAAAATATCTCATTACAATCATCCGAATGTTTGATTATTCAAATATGGTAGGGTCTCAATTGATTCAGATGGTTAAAGTTCTAATGTATACTAATTTATACACTTTTTGTAAAGGGATACATTTTAGCAAATTTGATCATAACATGCTAGACATTTTGGTGGAAATATGTAATAATGCAAGAACAGTATATACAGTAGAGTCCCGCAAACTCGGCGTAATGTGGACTGGAAGGGTGCCGAGTTTGTGAAATACCGGGTTATCGGGAACTAGGGTTAAAAATCAGAACAATTTAGCTTTTTAACCACCTTTTTTATTTATATTATTTTACGCCACACTACATTATTTTGTCGAACTTCCCACGCAAGGATTTAGTCCAGAAAACAGCTGTTTGCCGCCAGCTTATTCAAATGGGGTTTCATTGCGTAATACTGTTCTGCAATGAGTTTTACCGGACACCAATCAGCTGATTATACTGTATTTGCGTGGCAATGATTTGGTTATAAACAAAAACATAACCTCTCTTAGAGGTTATGACTAGTGATGTTTAGTCCTTTAGTTGGTGGAAATGTATAAGGATTTGTACGAATTAAGTAGTATGGCGTAAACTATCGTACGTAACTCGTCCAAAATGTGTGTACTGGACTCGTATGGTAATCCCGTACTCGACTTCGTCTCGCACGGGAACGACCACACTCGTCCGGTAAACACTTATTTTCAGGACTAGTAACGTAATATACTATTACAAGTCAGTATTAAGTCATCAGATATAGTACAACAAATCCTTGTACCATTTGGGAATAATTTGACTAAAGCTGACTTAAATCCAGCTTAACTCGGACTCAAAAAATCACTAATTTTCTGAGCCAGGTAATGGCCGAGTTATCCAGACTGCCGGGTTATCGAGTGTCGAGTTTGCGGGACTCTACTGTACTTTCATGTTAAACAGTAGGAAAACTTAGTTTTCAACTGCCAAAAGCTATTAAAAAGACATTAGTCATATTTACTGACACCAGCTGGCTCAATTGGAATAAGGCTCAATTCTTTGCCAATAGCACAAAGTAAAAATAATTTGCAATTTCCCATATGAGATTTTATATTTGAAGATAAACTACCTACTACACTTTTAATATTATGTTTACATATAGTTGATTGAACAATTCTGCACTGTATACTATTTACCTAGTATCTAAAATATAGTAAACCATCATCAGTTTGATTTAGAAAGACTGATTTTGTTTATTAAATCCAGGCACAATTTTTGTTAATGCATGCACACATCTTTTTTTCTTTTTTATTGTGTACTAGTTACAAGACTAAGGGGGAATATTAATTTCAATACTAATGTGTTCTTTTACAATTCTGTTGTTGAAACTAATTTTACATTTTTTTTACAGAAGAGGAAGACGAGAAACGCCTTGGTGACAACATTAGGTAGGATATTTATCACAATTATAGAAAATTAAAATAGAAAGTAAGTAAACGTAGTTAACCAAATGTTACAGCTATTTGGGACTATTAGTAATATTGTTTAAACCTGAAATTACATCTGATTTTGTATAGGATGAGCCTCACTCAGCACACCAAAGTTGACTTAAAATAGTTACACAACATTTTAATAATTTTAAGAAAAATTTGAGTTGATACATTTGTTTTGTTGACCTAATGTATAGTGAGTCGGTTGTGCAACAGACTGCAAAATCATGGTAGCTATGTCGTGGGTTCCAATGTTGCCACGAAAAATGTATTTGTTTTGTTCTACTGTGACTAAAAAACCTTATAAGTGACATTATTTTTTTTTTAGGAAATATAATTTGTCTATAAATTTTAGATTTGATCAAGTCTAATAAAGAAATTGTTTGTATCTCCTCATCTTATCAAATTATTGTTACTCATTATTGAAGTGCAAGGTTTTTTTTCAATTTATTGTAGAAATTGATGATACATTTATATTTTTTTTTTATCAATAGAAAAAAAAATATATTTATCAGTTTAAAAACGTTGTCGAATTTGTTTGTATTAGTTAAAATATCAACCATGATTGTTCACAGGCCATCAAGCGCCAACAGCAGTATATCCTCGGCTCAGAGCTCCATCATGTCAGAACCTATCAAAAAGACGAGTGAAGATTTTGGAAAAAGTGGAACAGGTAAGATTTTTACTCATAGATACGTTTAAATACATCAATAAAGTGCCGAATAATAATTTTCCCATAATTGATATCCCTTACCAAAATGCAAACGGTTTATACAAACTACGTGTGTCTGAATTTGAATGTTAAAGTAAAGGTCCAACACATATAGAAAAAAAAACATTTGTGGAATTCGTCACAGAAGTATGTGATGGGATTTGTATGAATGGAATTTTTGCCTTGTAAGATAATCCACTTTTCCAAAAATTCACAAAAATTGAAAATTCAGTGAACTAAATCCAAAGTAGACAGTATTTTTTTTTTGTTTTAATTTCTGGTAATTGGGATATACAGGGTGATTTGTACTCAGTGTGACAAAATTTTTTTTGATGTAAGTACAAAGTAAATGAAGTGTGATGATGCATATGAAATGTTCCAAGTCTCAAAATTAGCGTCCCAAAAAATTATTTTATGTTTTTCAAAAATAACCATGCTTTGAAACTTAATACAGCAATTTCTCAATTACCTGTATATGGATTTGAGTAGATAATGTAATTTTCGTGTTCTACATTAAATTTTGAACAAGAATAATGGAAAATGACGGAGGATCAGTTGTTAAAACTCCATTGTAAATAGATTCAAAGATAAAAATTAAGATATTTGATAAAAATTTTAAAAACAATTCTATTACATTTTTCACACCCTGTATACAAGAAAGTGTCGGAATATGTTAAAAACTGCGCCATTTTATAAGCTTTCCAACCATATGCTACACTATTGAGATTTAGATATTTTTTTGTTTGTTTTAGTGGTTTGAATACCAGCAAACAGGGAACTTTTTTACCGTTTTTACTGTTCAAGCTGAAACAAAAATACAACTTTTGCTTAATACATGCCGACTTTCTGTGTTTTAAATGTTAAAGACACCATGCTTTGTAGTATTTAAACCATTAAAGCGTACATAAGCAGACATAAACCTCAATAGTGTAGCATATCGTTGGAAAGCTTATAAAATAGCGCAGTTTTTATCATATTCCGACACTTTCTTGTATACAGGGTGTGAAAAATGCAATAGACCATTGTTTTTAAAATTTTTATCAAACATCTTAATTTTTATCTTTGAATCTATTTACAATGAAGTTTTTACAACTGATCCTCCGTCATTTTCTATTATTCTTGTTCAAAATTTAATGTAGAACACGAAAATTACATTATCTACTCAAATCCATATACAAGTAATTGAGAAATCGCTGTATTAAGTTTAAAAACATGGTTATTTTTGAAAAACATAAAATCATTTTTTGGGAAGCAAATTTTTAGACTTGGAACATTTGATATGCATCATCACACTTCATTTACTTTGTACTTACACCAAAAAATTTTGTCACACTGAGTACAAATCACCCTGTATACATTAATGAACTTTGTTCATCTTCAGTCTTATTGATTATTTAGTGAATTACTAGTTTCAGGTCGAGTGACCCGATGTCAAATACAAAATGAAATTAAAGAGAGATTATACCCAACAAACACCTTAGTCAATACATACGTATAGACTTGATACGGACATTAAAACATTGAAAAACCAGATTAAACATTACGCTGGCCACATTTAAAACCAGAATGGACCAACCAAGTTTGTACGGTGGACACAATGCTATTCCAATTTATCAGTCTCGCCAATGTTCAAGTTCTAGTAACTGACGGATTATCAAATATGATAGTGTACGTAGCTAGTTTTGCATGTTTACTTTTTATGTTGACAACAATATCTAGATGTATCCTATACACATTTAGCTTACCCATATTTGCTCCCTTGCAGGCAGGCAAGCAGTATTGGTACAAGATGATCACAGTGATCTATTTGGTTCTAAAGGGGAAATAACTCAACCTCAAACAAAAGAATTTGTAAGTATTTATTTTAATGACAATATTAGAGTCTTGATAACCATTCAATTATTAATTAGTTATCCGTCCAAATTTAAAAACTGGTTTCAAATCTGAGCTAGCTTGACTTACTTACTTTCCGTGTCCGGAAATCAGACTTTGCTTTTCCAAAAATTAGCTACCGATATGGCTTTGTAATTCGCTTGTAAAATATCATCTAATGTGCAAGACTGGTCTAGGCATGGACAGATCAGCAGATGGCCAGGATCCTGAACAGCACCACACGCACGCAAGATGTTTTCTTCGTCTGTTAAGAGACCCCATTTCTGCATGTTTGTCTTGCATTTTGGTACCTCGACCCTGATTCGATTTAGGGTCTTCCACACTGTGTAATGCAGACCTCCACCAGGAGCCAGTTCCTCCCTGGCTGGTATGGGAGGGTTAGTCAACGTCGCCTCCCACCCTGCCACCCGATTGCTTGAGAGTGATCCATCCAGGACTCGTGAACGTGACAAAAAACTCTTTCTGGACCGTAGCCGTCACTCTGCAGGTTGGTGGCCGTGTAATGGGTGACAAGGGTCTGTCTCTTGCTTAGTCCTTTCTGCGTAGACAGCGACATCTTGTCGGATTGATGGAGGGCGATCCCCTAAGTTTATTAATTCTCTCAATAATATAGACTGGATTCATTTGTTTTAGATTGTTTCAAACAGTAGCCCAATATTGTGAGGTAATTTTTCTTTAAGTTCAACCTGATAGACTATGAATTTTTTAAGGTTCCTGCTGGAGGTGTAAAAATATTTGGTGGAGACTTCAACCCATTTTCAAATAGAAACCAGTTCAAAGATGACCAGGACGATGGTTTTCTTCCAGCCATTGAGCCATCCAGGTAAGTCTATTGTATTCTAAAAACAACCCTTTCAATTATGCCTTCTCTGTTAATATGCTCATTTTGTTTTTATATATATGCAGTAAAGATACAAGGTACAAAACATATTCTTATTTGCCTTTGAAAAACAGATAGGACTGTAGTTTAACGTAAAGATAGAAAAAAGTTAGTTCTTTTAATTTTTGTTGACAGACACTATGATGAAGAAACAGTTGTGTAATAAAAAAGTCTTTCATCCCCCAAAATTTCAGGGTCGGGCCAGGCCGCTAGTTTGCCCGAAAGATATGGTTCTGAAAATAATTTTCAGATCAAACTTGGGTTGGGTAATTTTTATTAGAAGAGTGAAATAAGTTCAATTTCCGAACCAAGCTTTTCTCACGATCTTCTCCCAAAGTGTGCAAAGATTAGGCAATTAAAAATTTACAAATTCACCACCAGGTGTCGTGGAGACTGCAAGCTACGCTCACAGGTGTTGTTGCGGTCACTTGAGACTATTTCCGATGTCGCGGAGACTGCAAGTTAAGATCACGGGTGTTGCTGCAGTTGCGGGAGACAATTACCGATGTCGCGGAGACTGCAGGTTATGCTCCTCCTGGTATCCGACATTTTGGCCGTTCTGACCATGGCCTGGTCCCGTCATGGTCGGATATGAGGGGTTCTACTGTAATTCCAAAGTCCACTTAGTCCAAGGCCAATTAACGATTTTGCTGTCCAAAGAAAAACTTAATGACATTCACATATATGTAAAACAATATATAGAGAATACTAATGTTAAGTAAAATATGAATGTTTGTTTCAGATCAGAAAAGGATGATGTCGATGAAGACATTTTTGCAAAGAAATTTAGTGTCCCCACAAAATTATTACCAACAGTTTCTTCCAGTATACTGAATAAGAAGAAAGAAATAAGTTTATTTGATGATGAAGAGGAAGATGATCTCTTCTCTAGCAAGTCGATTGAATCAAAGACAAAATCACAACCATCATCTTTGCACTCCAGTACCGTTCAATTTGGCAGCAACAAAAGTGAACCTGATGATGAAGGTTTCTTTAGTAATTCTAGTATAATTCCTGAATCAAGAAAGTCACATTCCATCTTTAGTGATGATTTGTTTGCCGATGAAAGTGATGATTTATTTTCTACAACAGATACAAATAAACAAAAGAATTATAGAACCTCTTCCTCAGTTTCACAAGGCTTTGGTGATAGTTTGTTTTCAGATGACAAACCATCGGCCAAGGGTATTGGGGCAAGTAAAACTGGAGGCAAAGCTGCACCTCAAAAGCATCAGCCTCAAAACTTTGGTGGAGACATCTTTGGTGACGGGGAGGACTTGTTTGGGAATGTCGCAAAATTGAAAGGAGATGATTTGTTTGGAGAAGTTCCTATTAAAAGCAAGCCATCAAGCTCTTTGGTAAACCAAGAAAGTAAAAAAATACAAGGGTCTATTAAGAAAGATCTTTTTGATGAAATTTACAATGATAATGACGATCTTTTCAGCGTTTCAACCAAAAGTTCAATAGAAAAAAATCCCCGAAGTCAAACAGTGAATCAGGATTCATTATTTGGAAAAACCATTAAAGAACCATCCAAGTCTGGCAAAGAAGAATCACCAGAAGCTGAAAATGGGTTGTTCGGTGTTCCAAAAATTTCATCTGATTTAAAAAATAAAAATATAAAAGGAAAACCATCTGTGTTGAAACCCAAAAAAGGATTAGAAAACCGTTCATTGTTCGATTCTGATTCAGACGATGACCTATTTTCCTCACCTCAAGGTTCCTTAAGCTCCAGAAAATCTATTCAATCAGTTAATGAGACTCCTGAGTCAAATGATAAAGAAGACAAGAAGAAATCAAGTGACTCAAACACTTCAAGGTTACCAAAAACAGATTTTAGTAGCATTTTTTCAAACTCTCAAGATGAAACGCCTAGTTTTTTGCTGGATAAAGAAACAAAAAAACCAAGTAATCTTTTTGGAGATGATAAAGACTTATTTTCCAGTTTATCTTCAAATGTAAAAACTCCTGATTTGTTTAGTAACAATTCATTGCTGTCAAAAAATTCACTAAAAACAGAAAAAGATTCTAGTCTAACTTCTGAGGAAAACAAAAATGAAATAAAATCTACCAGTGAGTCATCTAAAGCTCAAACAAAAACATTGGTTGAAGCATTGAATAAAAAGCTTACGGAAAAAAGTGAAAAAACACCAGTTGAGTCAGGTGCTTTGAAAACAGACATTTTTAATGATAGTCTTTTTGACAATGAAGAGAAACCAATCATGAAAAAGCTGGACCCGCCTAAAACTCTAGACATAAAACCCATATCTGAGACGTTGATGGGTGATAAATCAGATGAATCAAAACAAGAGAATAAAACAGACATCCCTAAGCCGCCAGTGTCAAAAAAACCAACTCCAAGTGTGACAGTTGAAAAATCTCTACCAAAAGATTCCACTGACGGGGAAGTGATCAGTCCTCCTTCTCCTTCTAAAATTCCAGGTTGGTATGCATGCATTTTGTTTTGTACATACTCTATGTGAGGTTATTTGCATTTGTTCTTGATATACAACCTTCATAATGTAAACTTGAGAAAAGAAAGTTTTTGTTTGGTTGTTAAACACAAGCGAGCTGGGACCTTCATTGTTCTAAGATCCAACTTATGTTTAATGGAACATGGTAAGTTTTGTTTGAGCATCACTATGTCTAACATTTAAAAACTCCCATATAGTCAAAATAAAGAATTTGGTGATTGTATGGTACATACACCCAAAGTCATTGTAAAACAGTTGTTAAACTGGCTCTGCACAATTTAAATCTACAGATTACACTCTGATTCTTCCAAACTTAAAGACCCTCTTTTACATTGAACTTATTATTCAAGATAAATTCTGTTTTACCATTGGTGTATGAATAAATTCAACAGAAACAAACTTTTATTTAAGTTCATCAAAATATTTTTTTCAGGAAAGCTGAAAGCTTCTCAGTTGATAAAGATCAACCCTGCAGCTTTGTTGCCTGGTGCAAGACCTTCCAAGGCAGAGTCTCAAGCTCCAAACATCCCGAATGTTAGGGAATCTCCTGATCCAGAAGTTCCCTCTCCACCAACAGTCTCAACAACTGTCCCTGATATGCCTCAAAAAAGCTCACTTTTGCACAGTGTAAATAAGGTAATACTAATAACTATGTTATCTAGAATAATAGTGAATATACACTAATTGACAGACAAACAAAACACTAGTGATCAGCTTATTTTTAATCAATGTTAGCAATATAAGTAAACTATATAAGTAAATTGATTAGTACAGCCAGTGGCGACACTGCTTAGGCCAATTGGCAAAAGACAATGATCTTTATTTGTGATTTCATCATGGGATACATAAATATCAAACGGGGTAAAGTAGCTCTTGGTTTGCATAACCAGATTGTGACTTATTTGTTTATGTGGATTTGGATAAAGAGATGCATGTGTGAGTGTGTAAGACATAAATACATTTTGGCTTCTGATTGGTCAATGACAAGTTCTGTCAGACCAGTAAGAACATTTAACCTTCAATTTTACGCCAAGCTTACCTTCAAAATTGTACATTTACCTTTGTTTACATCTTGTCCTTGCCATTCTGACAGACAACTGATACATAGTTGTTCACTTTCTAAATCTGTTGTTTGTGCTAGTGATGGATTAGATGAGCAATAACACATAAAAAACTATGGTATCTAGAGTATGGTGTCAATGGCTCAGTTGGTAGCCCAACGGACTCCTAGCCCAAGGCAGCGATGTCAAAGGGCTGGATCCTGGTACCTGCCACTACTTTTTATCAGTACAGTTCACCTTTGTGCTGTACCGACTCACCCTTTGTTTTTCTGGATACGTTTCACGCACAAACATTATTGGCCCATCTGGACAGGCAAATTCAAAGTAAAAGAGGCCACCAACCTCTTAAAAAACCAAATGGTTAGTACATACATTAATGTACCCACCAAAAAATGTATACATCAATTGTCATTGATCTAATAGCATCACAATATTTTTGAGCGAATATTTATGTTATTTTTCATCCATTGAAATCTTTTTCCATATTACTATTTAATCACGTGAATAGACAACTCATAAAAACTATGAAATGTTGTTCAAAACAAATAATACACTTTGCATTTTGAATAATTATTGATAAAATAAAGACAACTATATAGTGTAAGTTTGACATTCTCTTTGTTGCCAGGAACGAGTGAAAATTCCAAGCAAGAGACGTCCTTCTTCTCGACGTGCCAGGCAAGAGTCTCTGAAAGCATCAATGGTGATCGATGGAACAGAGGCTGATACCACCAGTTCCAATGTTGTTCCCCCTACTTCTACTCTAATGAGTCCTTCTACAGATGAGGAAGACCTCTTTGGCGTCCCTCCCCTGGATGTTGTATATGATGTCAAAGCAGTGTCTCCCTCTGTCGATATTTTTGGTACCCCAACAGTCCTATCTCCAGTTCAACCAACGACAACAACCACAACCAACCAACCAACAAACAAACTAATCCCCTCCACATTTGTCTCCACACCCTTTGTTCATTCTCAACCTCCTCCTTTAGATGAAGATCAAGAAGAAGGGTCCAATCATGAAGATGATCTATTTGGATCACAGAATAATCTAATCAGTAGTCTGACCAAGGAGAGAAAACCGTCACATGAAGTCCAAAGTAAGAAAACAATCACAGCAGAAGATATATTCAGTGATGTGGATGAGGATGGGTTGTTTCGTGGAATAAAAGAAGCCCCTCCTCCACTTGTTGATGATGATAATGACGATGATGAAGAATACGACGAATTGTTTATGACCAGGGAGAAGAAAGATAATGTTTTTAGTAAACCACTGCACAGTGGCTCTGTAATTGCAGCTTTAGAATCCATTCCAAAAGAAGATACCAAACGCTCTGTGTTTTCTCAGTCAACTGAACCAGTTTCTTATTTTCCTTCTATAAACACACAAAAAATGAAAACTGGTGTTGAAAAAGATCCTCTTTTTACTGCTAGAGATTTAACTACAACCAGTACAAATTCTTTATTCTCCACATTAGAGGAATCAAAAGTGATGGGTACAGAAGATCCCTTGTTCGATAGTCCTTTAAAAAACTCAAGTGAGGTTACCAAGGATACATTTAATAACTCATTAAAGAAAGATTCAATATTTTCTGACTTGAGTAATGAAGAAGAATCATCACTCTTTTCCAAAGTACCAAAGGAAAAATCTAGTGAAATATTTTCTGCTGATAAGAAAACAACAGCAACACCCATACATCCCAAGGTTGAATCACAGTCTAAAGGAGAATCAATAGTTTCCAATTTAGATTATGAAGAAGATTCTTTTCTCTCTAGTAAAAAACAAATGGTGTCAACTAGTGAACTATTCTCAAGTGATAATTCAAAAAATATTTCTGATAAACTAGGAACTGAATTCAAAGAAGACGAAAACCAGGATTCGGACGATGAACTGTTTGGGTCACAAAGTAAAGTTAGCACAACGAAGCCTTCATCTATAACTAGTGAAATTAAAGTAACAACTTCAAAACATAAAGATGAAAATGCTATAAAAAAAGACACTCTTTTTGGTGATGATGAAGAAGAAGCCAGTAACCTGTTTTCATCTGTACTCGACAAAAAGGTCAAAGTAAAATCTTCTGTCAAGTCATCGTTATTCGGAGATGAAGAAGATGATGATGATATTTTTGGTTCATTGCCTTCAAGTAAAAAAACAGAGAGTAAGGCTGCTCCATCAACCTCCCAATCAACAAAAGGTATCTAAGTTCTTATAATTAGATTAACCCTTTCAGTGCTATGAAACGATATATCGTTGTGCGTCTTTTTCCCGAAAAGTACTATGAAACGATATATCGTTGTTCACGTTTCATCCAAAAAGCGCTAAGCGACGATATATCGTGTCGGCGCGACTTTCGATCGTGTGAGTTTAAATGGGCATATCAGTTGACTCCTGTTGTGACGAAACAGCGATGGTTTCTTTCGATTCCTCATACGATCGAGGCCACTAATTTTTTTTCTCGCACACTAGACTTTGCCCCTGTGGCAAGCGTAGCACTTTTCGGACAAAATAAGTAAAAATTACAAAAAAATATTCTAGCATCAAAAGAGTTATCTCATTTGTTTGGACACACATAAAACTAACAATTTTAATATGCTGTGCTTTTGAATTCTTGAGACTGGAATGGATAAAAATAAAATTGTCAAAGATCGATGTTATACCATTTAAAGAAACATACTTGTATAAAAAATCAAATATATTATTGAAAGACTCCACGTTACACCCTCTAAACACCCTAACCAAATGAGAAATAAATGTGCTTGAGAAAAATTAAAATGTTAATCAAGCAGAAGTTTTTGTATTTATTTTTCTTTGACAAGGCTGAAGTGAAATGAGTGTTATACTCAAATTATATTTCAATCAAATAAAAGAAGTTTGCAGTATACAAAATTTGTTTTAACAAAATATTAAGCTTTTTATGTGTGTGATAATTTATTGAGTTTGTTATGGTAAAATCTCATTATATGTCGTTTTTCTGTTTTAGGGTCATCGTTAAAAACGATGAAAACAGGAAATGTGGGATCTTCAAAACCTGTTAAACTGGAGACAAAACAAACATTCTCAGATCCTTTGTTTTCTCAAGAAGATCAGTAATGTTTCCCTTTTTTAGCAAGTGCTCATTAGTTAATTTATTTTGTACAGTTATTTGAATTTTTTCATTCTTTAAAGAGTATAAAGACCCTTACTATTTTAGACCTGCAATGTATGTATTCAAAACAACAGTTTTGGCTGCAGTATGAAACAATATTGTTTTTACACACTACCTTTTTTTAGCTTCAACACATTTATTTATAATTGTTAATACTTTTTAAAATAGATGCCTCAGTTTATTCTGTAAGAATGAAAATCCACATGATTTCTGATCAGGGATAGCCTCAAGGAGTTGTGAGTTTATAATTTAGTTGTTAAATCATTGTTTTGATAATATATGTTTGTATAATATTGTTTTAGATATTTATTTAGTCATATTTAGTAATCATCATCTTGTGATAAATAATCATTATCCTTTTTATACATTTAAACTATAGTGTTATATTTTGTGATCATTATTATTTAAAATAAGTTGGTGTTTTTTTAGGCTTTTAATGTTTTTCAAACTCTTAAGTGATAATCAATTTTTATAAATATTGCATAAACTGTATATTACAATAAATAAATAAAAAAATATATATATATTATAGTTATGGGTGTATATTGCTGTTATTAGGATATGTACCTTCTCACTGATTATTGATACACAACCGGGTAGGTAATTAATTTATATATAAATAAACAATTTATATATTATGTAACTTGTGGTTTTGTCACTTATTGAAAGTATGACAACTTGTAATTAATTAGGATATTTGTGTTATAAACAATATTGCTTCTTAGTCTTAAGAATCAGTGTTAAATAAAAAAAATTAACACATGTTACCGTTTTTAAATCATGAAAACACTATAGGTCTAAAAAGTTCACTCTAATAGATTTTTGATGTACAATGTTTACACAAAGTTTCCTGAAAATGTTTATTTTTTAAATGTTCATACAAAGGCTATAACTTGAAAGCTTTACTGGCTAACTTCACGAGGCAAAGTAAACTCAGACGTCGACCAAAAGTTTGTTAGTGAACCTCATGAACCAATCAACATTTTAACTACATTGTACTTGTTGAAAATGTGTGTTAAAACTTAAAAACATACCATTATGTATGGCCTGTTATTGTTGATATACAATTTATTGTTTTTATTTAATTTATCCTACAATTATCAAGAGTGTTGTATCCATTAATAGTTTCTAAGTCACTCTGGTGCAGCCTTATGAACAAACTCTTTGTGATATGACATTCATTCTATACATGTTTTGAATTTATACAATATCATTTGTTTGAATATTTTAAACATTATGTGATCATATTGGTGTCACTTAGTAAAATTGGATAATTGAAATAGTAGTTGACGCAACAATTGTGTTAAGACTAATTACGCTAGTTGTGTACACTACTTTACCTACGACAGTGTTTAATGACTAAAATCACTACTCATAACTTATAAGAGAGGTTATGTTTTCGTTTATGACCTCTCATTGCCACTGACAGTGATGCAAGGAAACATTGCACCACTCAGGCTACGGCCACACGGGCGGTTTTTCACGCTGGGTTCTTGCGTGAAAAAACGCGAGAAATATGAGCAGCATTAAATGTAATGAGGTATGCCACACGGAGTGTGTTTTCACGCAGATAAGGCGTGTCTGCAAAATCACCCGCCGCGGGCCCGCAGAAGAATGGACTGGGGTGCATTTTTGAAGCTTGTTTTCACGCTCTGTCCCTGGCCACACAGGCGGGAGCAACACGCAGCTTTGATCAAGTCGTTCTAGCAAGTAAAATAAAGATAAATGTATCTAATTTTTTCCAGGATAGCGTAAAATATTTTTGGGTCTATCCGAGTACACAGTAGGATCTTAAACATAGGTCGACCTTACTGGACCACTTAATAATTTGTTACTAAAAGGAAAGGCGTTTGGTTGAACTAAAAAATGTAAAGAGGCATTTTTGTAGTAGAATATACATAGATCTGATGAAAATCTTGTCATAAAAATATTTATATTATATTCATTTTTTATATTAAATGTTAAAATAAAATAATTTTAGTGTTGTTTTCATATAGAAATGAATATATTATATTTATTTTTTATACTAAATGTAAATAATTAAATGATAGGTTAACAAAATAAAAAAAATGTTAATGTACCAAAATTAATATACCATTCATATTTCTTGTTCACTAGTCAGAAAATAAGGTAACTATTTCGGTCATTAGGAAGATATACAGTACAACATAATTACGTGAATTCATCAATCAACTGCGGGTTCCCACTGCATTTTGCCGTTCCTGGACTACAACTAGCGTGAGAATAAGCTACATTTTACTGCCTGAAAAAAACGCATGTGTGGCATACAACAGCGGGAATTCAAGCAGCGTGAAAATAAGCTACATTTTACCGCGTGAAAATACGCCCGTGTGGCCGTAGCCTCAACAATTAAATTGGCCTGAACAGCTGATTAGTTTAAGTCCGAATCATTACAATTTTACTTCTTTCCTCTTAATCCTAGAACCTCATTTGTCCGTTACCCGATTTGTTATGAGTAAAACTATGCTGTTATGTGAAACTTTTCAATTCTAAGAACTGAACTGAAAGGGCTATTTTACAAAACGGTCGTAGGTAAAGGAATTTAATAATATTAAGAGAAGTTTTACCAGTGAAATATAAATTGAATATGATCATGAATAAACCTTGTGTTAATGTTCTAACTTAACGTTAATATGATACTGTGATTTGTAGCTGATAGACTACTTTTAACTTCTTGTTTTGATTTAGTCGTAACTGGAATTTTGCCACCGAAATAAGCGGATCGCTCACGCGGCGGCCACAATATTCTATCTCTCTCTCTCTCTCTCTGCCAATTCTTTGTCTCACTTTCTCTCAACTAACTTGGCCAGCTAACTTGGCCGCATGCTCAGGATAGTCTACCTAGCGGCCGCCGCGGGAACTGTCTGAAATTCAAATATTCCCAGACTGAATTTTAACAAAGGCATTGCGCTTCTTAGGTTTTGTATTCACTCTTTCTGTTTGATGGATTTTTGGCAAAAATAATTTTGGCCCCTGTCCTCTTTGGTTTTCAAAATATTACATTCCCTCAATAAAAAAGGTTTTGAATTAAAATCTGGGCAGGGGATTAAATGGTTTTCTATCTTTCTTCCAGGCAAAATAAACTAGAACAACTTATGACATTATTATGTCTGCCTTACCATAAAAATTCTGAATTTTTGAGCTTTTTGGTCACCAAAGTCAAGAAAGTAAAACTTTATATGAATCGCTTATTTGAGAAACAACACATATCCACAAAATAAAACTTTCGGAAAACAAAAAAAAACATATTTGCAACTAAATTGCTTAAATAATTTAGTTATATTATATTTGTATACATAACTAACGTCATTCTAATATGTTTTATCAACTTATTTCTTTAATAATTTATTTTAATATTTTTTTATAAAATAAAAAAAAAATGGAGATGTGTGGTTTCTCAAATAAATTGAGAAAAGGATATAATATAAATAGATTGTTAGTTGTTTAAAATTACACAATTTATTAAACATGTCATGAATATGTTTTCTGAGTTGGTTAAAGCCTACATAGAGTCAAATCTGTCCATTTTTCATACCTTCAATCATCCAGTTCTTCGTTTTGGAGTGTTTCATTTTCTTCGTTGCCTTGGTGTGTTGGCCACTCATAAATTTCTTTCCAAAACTCTTGAATATCTTCATCCTGAGGTAAACAATTAGCTATCTTCTTAAGATCCAACATTTTTTTAACATTAATAGGGAATTTTCCACTAGGGTAGGCCTTTTTGGGTGGTTCACTAGGCGATTCCAAGCGAGACGAAAGGCAAAACTTGTGTTGTACGATGCAGTCAATGAACTCTCTGGTATACACTGTTCCTTTTTCTTGAGAATTGTATGTCAAATGCCTAAAATTGCTTATGTTGAAATGCACCTTTTGATCCTTGGGCACATGACGTCCTCTTGACGATTCAGATATTGTATTTCTTTTATAGAATGGTTTCCACCATGATTTGAAATCAAAGATGTCTTCGGTCTGAGGAACTGTTACCATAAAATTCATCTTATCGCTTGAGGTAATGATTTGCTCAACATACTCACGTAAGGTGTAGGTTCTATCTACAGTCTTTAATTTCCTTTTGATGACACTAAAGTCCCGGTCACAAGGAAGATATGAATGGCCACGCACAGGAAAAAATTGGGTAATTTCACTAAACCTTTTCCGGTCCGTCAAAGAAAGTAGGTAGCGTACCACTGTATTATTTTTCACCTGTCCACCGCAACCATCAGAGAAAACATACAATTTTTGTATTTCTTTGGGTAGAGACTCCACATATTCATTTAAAAATGATACAACCTCATTAGGTCCCTTTTTGGCCATACCTTCATGATAAACATAGATGTTTGCTTTACCTGTTTTTAAATCATGTATGCTTAAAACATTGACAGTTAACTGTCGTAGGTAAAATACGTCTTGGATAGGAATATGTGGCAGCTCCAAGTTTTGCATGTAATCCAGGCAAACAGCGGCAGAATTGTTGCTATTTTTCACAGTTTTTTTCACTTCACCTAATTTTTTGAAAAACTTTTTAGCCCTTCTAATGTGTACTATTTTCTCTGCTGCTGCAGCTAGCTTTGCTCTGTCATTCAACCTCACGCTTTTAATTTTAACACCAAGTTCTTCGCAGGCTACGCATGTGTCTATTTGTGGCCTTCCGAATGGAAATCCATACTTTTCTTTGTATAGCTTATAGTAAAAATTGTACTTCACATCTTTTACCATATCTGGATACTTGTCCAAAAACAACTTATACATAACCTTAACATTAAGCCTCTCGCTTAAATAGTTTAAAATTTTATTGCTGTAGTGGGATGATTTGAGTGGGAATGACTGTATATGATTACATACCGTCTGAATCACTTGGTCTGATTTTGCATTGCCTGGTCTCTGCTTTCCACGCATATCTATAGGTGATTTGCCCTGAGACAACAAAGTGTACAATCTTCGGATACGATTTTCTGAAATACCATGTATTGCTGCAAAAGCCTTTTTGCATACAGAATAAGCACCTGAACTACATGAAACTCGGTAAGTATAAGAATAAGACTTAGGCTTTGGATTTACTTCTTCCTTAGGCCTTCGTCGAGCAATTTCATGCAAAGTAATAAGGCTTTGCAAGTACGAGTCCTGTTCATTCTTAGTATTTAGGCTATAGAACCTATTATTTATTTCGTCCCTATCAGTAGAGTTCACTCTTTCAAAACACTTCATTGTACACAGACAGTCTACTCCTTTCTTGGTTAGAACAACATCTTTACCTTTCCAGTTTTTGTAGTTTATTCCTTTTACACGACACTCTTTTATTATTTCACACTTGTACTTAACACCTTTTACACCTTTCCTTCTCTTCTTAGGAATTTCCTCACTATCTGACATAATGAAAGTAAGTTAAAATGCAATAATAAAAAACGAAATAAGCTCTTTCACGAAATAAGTCATACATAACCTCAAAAGTGTAAGTAAACTGAAGACTGATTTCTGCACAGGCACAGCTGATTTCTGTTTGTTGGAGAAACCACACATGTCCAGGAGATGTGTGGTTTCTCAAATAAACGAAATATTAAGGACCATTTTAGTTTCCCTTAGCAACATAGGATTAGTGTTGTTTCTACACAAAACGATGTATTTACATTTAAAGAAGACATATTAGTTGAAAAGTGAAAATGTCAAAAAAATGGATATGTGTTGTTTCTCAAATAAGTGATTCATATATTATCACTCTTCGATTGAGTGTTCTTTTTAAATTGTTCGACATGTGTACAGTTGTTATGTAGAATAAAATTAGTGATTATTATGAAGTTGAAATATTATTTATTCCTAATGATGGTTCTATAATAGATAATAGACATAATTACATTTCTATGAAGAATAAAAATTATGAAAAAAATAAAGTATATCTGCCTTTTAGAAATTTTGGTAAGGTAAAATAAAATACTTTTACACATCCATAAACGAGAACAACCCCAATAACCATATAAGTAAATATATGTAGAATCTATTCATACTCATTTACATGTTGATGTAAATGTTTAAATAATTAAATACATATAATTAAATTTAATTAATTAACTAAATGTAAAAGTTATATTGATTCGATTGATTGAAATCCTTCAAACAATATCAATAGTTTAAAAAAATTGAACGTTAACTCCCTTGAACCATTTATTTTTAACCAACCAACGATCTAAAATTACAACAGTGTTTGGAATTATTTTAAAATCAGTAACATTCATTGAAATAAAAACTTAAATTTGTTTAGGAGTGAACTATGAACTCTAAGCATCCCAAACGAGTATCCTTTTTGAGAAAAACCACATTTGTTTTAAACGTCCCTTGTTTCATTCCTGGATAATGCTTGAAAACTTCTGACGTTGGGAAGTCTTTCAAGGAGTAGTTTCCCTGGGAAAGCAAAATGGATGTAGAAATGAACATAAATACTACAATATTAAGAGTGACAATGTGTAACCAAATATCATACAGCGAAACTAAATGGTTGGTTAATCTGTTTCTGTGGTTTTAAACAGCTGATTGTTACAGCTATGAAAAGGGTTTGTTTTGACAAGGATATGTTTTGTCTCAGTCACTTAGTTGAGTACCACAAAGCCTGCCAGCGAATGTCTACTCAAATCAATAAAAAAACCTTTTATGTTTTAGAATTAGCTCATACTAATGCTATTGAATTTGAATAGCGAAACATTGGAACTGCATATCTCGTTGGGTGAGGCAATTCAAGACAACTGGATGTTTGTGTGCCGGGAAGAGTTTGGGCCGTCCTCGGACTCCACCAGACGCTTTTTCTTTTTTTAGTAGCCATTTGTTGACAGGGTTCATGGTACTCAACTAAGCAACCGAGACATGAGACAAAACATAATCTTGTCAAACCAAACTTATAAAACACACCCTTTCGATTCAGCTGATTGAAAACACGGAAACAGACATACCAACCGTTTAGTTTTGCACCATTCTCATTTTGAATCCGCTAATGGGTCATTCAACAGTGAATGATTTCTCGGGAGTTTTAATAAATATGGTACTTAACTGTGTAAATCACTAATTTCAAGAAAAAGGTCCATAGCCATAAATTTTATTTTATTTTTTTAAATTTACCTCTTTAAAATATCAACTACTTTTAGGGTTTTTGTTTTTCACATTTAGCTATCTCATCTCTTTCTCGTAAACACTAACAACCTATATTCTTGCTTTTTTTTTATTTATGGTCTCCTGGCACATGAAAGCCTTACCTTCGAAATAGGACAAGTAATCGGAGGAGAAATTCCTGCTTTCTCCCAAAAATTTATCCATCCTGATCTTAGCACTAACATTAGGTCCTTGCATAGATGGGGAAGTTTAAAAACAAATCCTTGCTTTATCCAGCCCCCGTTACCCCTCTCTGAAACTTCTATGTTTCCCTGAAACATTTAAATGTTAGAAAATTATATTTGAATGTTATATTGATAAATTGTGTTAGAATGTTATAAATGAAAATTTTGTGGACCATACAACAGGCGAGTTGAGTACTCTACATATGACATCCATTGGGAGTTAAGTGCAGAGCATTATTAAAACTAACACGTTATCAGAACTGCTCATGAATAAAACAAACTTATTGGCGTTATTTTTCCTCTTTTATCATTACACATTCTATTTCAGGATACTCTCTACTTTTCCAAAATAGAGCACAACAGTAATTAAATTCTGTATAATATTTTTACACTTTTTGTACTTGCCAATTTATTTTTAATACTCACTGCTACTTGATCGTCCAAGGGAACCTTCATTGTGATGTTGCCTTGAAGTACGACCTGCTGTCGAGATTGGCGGTTTAATTTCATCTCCCAAACTATAGCTCTAGATCCTTGATCCGGACATTGGCGCACTTCGTCAATAGTAAACACAGTGGTCTTACCCTAAGTGGCATACAAGAATTAAAGCATCGAAATATTGTAAAAAGAATGTATCTTTAATCAATAGTGAGACGGATTTTTCTAATCTTTTTTTTTTTGTTCTAGAAAAATTATCTTCGAGTCCCTCATTAAAAAATTATCTTTGAATTAAATTTGGGGCTTTTTAGTTTTTAAATCACTATATAAGTCATTGTGAGGTAGATCGCATATGTAGATTTTAGAAATAGCGGAGCTATTTAAAGGGTTTAGTCTCAGATGAATCGGTGGATCAGTCAATAATGTGACAAACTGTTAAATTTAAGTGACGATTGTTTTGTTAGTCCCTTAATTGCTTTGCTTTAAACATTCCTCATGTCATATATGCCTGGGGAAAATGGAAAGTTAAAAGAGGCCACCAATATTTTTCTATTAGAGCAAACTATTCATTTTATCGTGTTAATATTTTATTTGAAATCACTATCCTACCATGAAAATCACTGTTTTTACTGGACTTTTCAAATTATCGACAAAAAACCTCACTTTATTTTTTAGTAAATTTCTTACCGATACAAATGGAATCTGGATCTGGTGTGACAATGTAGTAACAATCAGAATAACAAAAATTCCCATCAACATTGTGGCATTAATACACATTGTGTGTGTGTGACTATAACTACTCTGTAACCTAAACCTGATGGATGGTAATGCCTTTCATCATTATGGGTCCACTAGTACAATACCATGCAATACCATCAGCAATCTGATAATAGCAATGACTAGTAGTTTTTAGATGGCATTTGGGAGCATGCAACAACAAAATCTACCAGCTCAACAAAATGACTCTGGATATATTTTCTGCAGATAAATATATGAAATTATATTCAAGTGTTAAAAAAACTTCTTTTAGAGTGCAAGTACAACAAATTTAGAACTAATTTTTAGTACCTTATGAAACAAATTTTTGATGATAACTAACACTATATAATTGATATTGTGAATTACACTTTTTCAGAACCCAAAATTCATTTTACAAAACATACATCTTGAATAAAAACCTTTTTTATTGCTATTTAAACAGCACAATGGGGATAATTTGAATCAAAATGAGTGGTACCAGTAGAGCTTAACTTTTCTTGTTATACATATATGGTAGTAAATTGAATAAGAACATATACATTTTGAAATAAAATAGATGGAATCTTAACCCATTGCCCTGAGTTCAGCTGAAAATTATCAACCCAGAAATTTACCCCCATGGAATATACCCATCACCAGACCTAAAACAATTTGTACAACACCGGACCAGCAAAGAAAGCCAATGATAAACTCTGTTATAAACATTTTTTACACACATCATTGTGTCACTCGAAGTTTTACATTTAAAATTGTTGAGCTGCCCAAAATACCCAATTTTAGAGCCCAAGGTAAAATTTTGGATCTTGGATATACCAACCAAAAATTTTACTTGTATGCTGTATAACAATAGGTGTGCAGAATTAATTTTTCATAGTATAACCCATTTGAGCTATACATACATTTGCCATTTGCCTAATTCTGTTTACCGGAGTATGTTAAATTTATAGCAATATTTTACAGCATCTCTTGATAAAAATAAACTACGTTTTTGACTTTAGATGCTGCAAGAGGGAGTATGTTTATGACTATGGTACCGGTAAAGAGTAAGAATATTTATTTTCCTTTTGACAAAGTATGCATTTGGAATAGTCAGTTAAACAAGGCATAATGATCACAAACCCTACAAATTCAAATTCAATCAACATGCTTCTACAAAAACTCTCAAAAGTTCTACAATAAATAAATAAATACATAAATTAATGATAATAAATAATCCACTGTATGTTCAGAACTATAAACTAAAAAATGCAAGGTCTAATTACACATGCAAGTCAAATATGTATATCACATATCAAGAGTCAAAACTTAAAAATAGGTACTTACGGATGCTGCTGGTACTGTATATTTAAAAAATCATTACAGGAATACAGTGGGTTGGCCAATTAAAGGTTTCTGTGGTTGATTTAGAATTTTGAAAAAATCTGGTTTCGGGCTTCACATGGGAGTCTGTTAAAAAATCTTAAACTTAATAAGCTGTGTTTGTGTTGAACTTGACTTAATCTAACAAATGGCACATCAAAAAGTTTCTTAGATCTAGTGTCATGCTCATAAACATCCTCTCTCAAATTAACATTGTCTAGCTTACTTTTTAAATTTAATAGGTACACAAATACATATATAGGCCTAAGCTAAACATGTCATCAAGCCCTCACATACAAATAATGGGCTTACAATGATCTTTGGACGTTGCATCAGTCAGCAGACGTACTGCTTTCTTTTGCAGTAGCAAAGTAGCAATACACATTTTACATCTGGTGCACTGCCCCTAGCTCAAACCATATAAAATTACACTTTCAAAAAAGGGATTTATATGCAGTCTTGACATAATCTTGACGTAATACTTAAACATTGCCAACCCGTTCTTTGAATAACAATGATTTTACCGTGCGAAATACACCTCAAATTACATTTAATATACTCTAGGAACATTCGTATCTTTATTTTTATTGGCTATTCTGTATTTTGGCTGCCTTCTGTCTGTCTGTAGATTAAAGTGTCGTCTGTATGCAAGCGCCAGCTGTTCTATTCTGTTCTGTTCTGTGATTTGATTTGAGATTTGAGGGAATTATGAACCTTCTGTGTCGGAGTGTACTTTTGATTGTTTTTAAATGTTATTGTTGGAATGCTAACTGCTAATTACACTTAATTACTGTTGTATTATTTATGCTTGGTAAAATGAATGACTCCAGATCACAACTTTCGACGAACCAAAACTCTTTCCGTGTCATTTTAAAGGAAAAATAAAATTCCGTGTAGGCTATGAAGACTTAAAGCCATGCCTGAAGTAAAAACCTTCTGAACTAAATTCACCTTCTGGAGGAAATTCTGTCATTTTAGTATGTCAGGTAAGGGTGATTATTTACTTAAAAGCCTGAACGTAAATATAGCCTGATCCATTTTACACCGAGTGTCTTGTGTAGCCTACACTATTATACTACCTATCGCTAAAGAATGCATTTTAACAAATCCATAATGGCTATCTTATGCTTTCATGTAAGAGCTGTTAATGTGTTTATTTATTCATACTTTCAAATAACCCTAAGATTGTCTGAGATAAATTTTAGGCCTAATGATCCTCCACCCACTATCAGTGTGTTGTGTCGTATACCTCTGCAACTGTTGGAATGTTAGGGTTAACTTTGAGCATGGGAATTTAACACTTATAGACATGAAAATTCTGTTTCAAGAAATAGGGGGAGAGGAACAGCATTTACTTCCGTTGATGTAGGCCTACCTCTACTCCACTGACTTGAGGTAAACAAATTTATTCAGCATTGCCTCCAGGATTGATTTAAGACAATATAAAATAGGATTAAAACGTACCTTACGTCGTCAATCCTAGTATATAGGGATGTTCGATATTTTGATATCGGTGACAGAGTCACCGATACCTGCTTGTCATTGAAATATCGGTGACAAGAGGCTCGAAAATACAGTGACTGGAATATCGGTGACAGCGGCAAGTCGCTCCTCGACGATGGCGCGGCGGCTTGGAGGGAGGGGCGAGTCAGCAGACTGTTCTCTCTGACGATATCAGAATCTGTTACAAAATCACCTGTGACGAGGTGCCCGCGTATTCACGTATCAACCAATCCCTGCATAACCAACCACCTCACATGAGTCACATCCGACACTAGACAATACACAATATTTTCGGACAACAACGCCAACCAACATTATTCAAACTCAACGTATTCTAAATGCTTTCATATGCCAATATTAACCTCCTCAACTAGGCCTATTATGTCTATTAGTATCTATGGACCGCCTATATATATTTTTAATTTTAATTAATATCAAACCAAAGTTTATTAGTTTGTCAATACTACGATATATTTTATTTCACAAAGTGTAAGCAAACAAGTAGATGTTCCTTTAAAACCCCAAAGCAAAGGTACTGGTACCTAATTGACCAAAATATTTAAAATTCAGTGACAAACAGCTGATTCTAAATCGTCAAGGGACGTATCGCCACAGCATCGATAGTAAATGCCCCAGTGACAAACCAGTGCGGTCTTAAAAGCTGTCACCGATATTTCAGTCACCGATATTTTCCCCCGATATTTCTTTGTCACTGGAACAAAGTCACCGATATTTTTAAATCACGGTATCTAACATCACTACATAGTCTCGGGCTGAGACTATAATAGGATTGAAGACGTAAACCTATTTTATAATCTAAAGGAACGGTATCCTAATGGACTCTGTGGATCACACAACTGAGATTGTAAAAACCTGCCTCTGAGCCAGTCATTTTAAAGCCCCATTTTTCCTCAACAATTTTCTACTTTGATAATAGCAGACATACCTACTAATCATAAGCGACCGTACACTACTGCAAGGGCCCATTTATACAGCATGTCACTTCTACAAAATACAGGGTGATTAAAAAGAATACTACAAGTTTAAAAATGTCTATTAAATGAAAGAAACATAATAAAACCTTCTGTTATACATCATTACAAAGAGTGTTTAAAAAAGTTTTTTTTTCAATCAAAAAGTTTAGAGATGTTCAATACGAGCTCCAGACACTCGAGCAATATCAACCTGATACTCAAACTCGTTCCACACTCTCTGTAGAATATCAGGCGGGACAGTTTGGATAGCTGCTGTTTTCTTGTTTCAAATCATCAATGGGAGAGGTGGCTGAAATACCATATCCTTAACATACCCTCGCAAGAAAAAAATCACAGGGGGTAAGGTTAGGGCTTTTTGGAGGCCAGTGATGAAGCGCTCAATAACACAAATAGCTTTCTGTTGAGCTGTCGCCATCTTAGCATCAACTCACGCTGACGCCTTGTCAACAGCGCCTCAAGCGTACAAATGACCAACTAAATGAAACTTTATAGCTTCCTCAATTCAACGACAGATAGTACTTAGCTCTACTTGCAGAGTTTGAAATTTGAAGTTTGCAGAGTTTTAAATTCCTAAAGTTGTGGTATTACTTTTGAATCACCCTGTATAATAGGCTAATTAATTCAAAACTTATATACTAAATATCTACTATAAAATATAAATATCTACTCTAAATATATACTAAATCCCGAGTTAATTTTCTTTTGAGAAGTTGTTTTAATAAAAACTGTTTCAAAAAGGGCTAGGCCTACTGTTATCATGGCTGCTTCCATAAATGGCCAGAGGCACAAGAGGTACGCTTTAGGTTTGTTAGGGGCGCAAAATTATCTCTACCGGGCACATAGTGCATGCATCACATGGAAACCGCGGGCAGCTGCTACTTACAGCTATTCAGTAACAAAATTGTTCATACAAATTGAGATCCCATTTCACAAATAGTAGAACTTTATTATAATTTCAGATGTCAACAAAAAAAAACCAAAATTGCTGATGGTAATGAAAAACTAGCGAGTACAAATTAAAATGAAAAGATATTAACGACCATTTGCAACTATACCTACTTTTGCATATTTTATATTGTAGGTAGGACAAATTGAAAGAAGAATAAAATATGATACTTTATTACTGATTTAATAACCTGCAACACCATTTTAAAATACATCTGTTCGTATTCAGTGGAATTGAATTACTGTTTTTTTGTTGAAGTGTGAAGAATAAACACGACACATCCAAGGCGAGTTTTGTTCCTATGAAGAAATTCCACAGTAGCTTTAAATTTCCCTTGTTTTATTCCGGGTACTTGTTGGAGTCCTTCTGTTGTTGAATAATTTTTTAAGTGGTGTTTCCCCTGGAAACAGAATAGTTTAATAATTTGATCCTCAATCTATAAGTTAACTTACTTCCATTTTATGATCGTTAAATGTTTTTTTTTTTTTTATAAATTGAAGAAGATTAAAGAATTACAGTTTTGAATACAGTCGAACCTCTATCAAACGAATTTCAAGGGGTAGGGGAAAAATTTGTACGATCGAGGTATTCTTGATAAAGAGGTTTGTTTTATCGAGATTTAATACTGCCATTATTCATCATAGAGGTTTCTCCTCGCTCTGAGACAATGACTGAGAAATTAAGAGGAATGGGTAGGGGTTTCATGTTGAGACAAGCTTCTGTTTGTTTGAAAAACTACGTAATGGATGTTAAGATAATGAGAAATTCGTCTTATAGAGGTCACATTCGTCTTTTATAGGATTTGTGCTAAGAATATTCGTTGTAATAGAGGTTAACCTGTCCTAGCCAATGTCACCAAAAAAATTGTCTTGGAGGTTTTTAACCTAATAACTACGTTGTACAGAGTGTTTTTAGCATTAACCTTTAAGAATGTTTCAAGGTGATATTTAAAAATTTGTCTTATCGAGTACGGTAATTCTTTTTACCAAGGTTTGTACTAACGAGGTTCTACTGTACATGCAATACATACATCTACCAAGTGATCATGGACAGCGCTTTGATCATGACAGAATAATGGCTCGGGGGGCCTCGAGCAGAACTCTTTTTGGGCCCCTATAAAAACCCCATATGTTGTATAAGATTGTAATTGTATTTTCTTTTAAATGTGTGATGAATATTTCTTTAATAATACATCCTTCTAAATATTGATTCTTAGTAGGCTTATATACTAACATTTAATTGCCCGCATTCTACCTTTTCCATGATAATTATATTTTTTTGTTTAATGAAGTATAAATTAAAAGGCAGTGAAAATCCCAGTGTTTTTCTTTTAGAACCTGTTAGTTTAAGCCCATAGGAACATAAATATAAATAGAACCCATTGGTTTACATAGTGTCTCTAATTTTTATCAATTATCTAATCAAATCTCTAATTATTATATGGTGTTTTTTTTTTGAAAATTTAACTAAAATTAAAGTTTGATAAAAACCCCCAAAAACATATTTTTCCTAAACTCTAAAAGATTTTTTGACCATTTTGGTGAAAGTTTCATTGCGATATGATAAATACTGACTGAGTAATGATTTTTTTCCAAATCAATGTCGCCTTCCCAATAATCGGCGGAAATGGGAAAAACGCTTATTTTTCGCAATCTTTGAAAATCCATAACTAAAAAAGTATTCAAGGTATCGAAATGAAATTTGGTATTTATAATTAGAATAGCAAGCAGAACACATGAACAAATATTCAGTAGAATCTGAGTACATGGGTGTCATGCCCTGGATGACTTTGATATGGATTGACCCATTGTTTTATTTTTACAATCACAGTACTTGCTACTATTAGAACAGTTTACAGAGTAGGCAGATTGTCAACTCAAGCTATTAGGCTCTCAGCCCCCTTAACTGGAAGTTCAGTGAGTGGCAGTAAAAAGGCTACTACCACACACAGCTTTGAACAATAGCCCCAGTTTAGGTCACGGGCTCAACTGTATTAGAGGTGGCTGTGGCTCAACCCCTAGGTCCACCTTAAAATTTCTACGACTTAAACAAAACCGCAGCTGAAAATATTTCAGTTTAGTAAAACCAATAGTGGTTTAAAGTGAGTTCATCTGGTAAATAGTTTTCATTGTTTTGCCTTCAGAATTCAATCAATTGATAAAAAAGGGAGGAAATAAGCATTTCCAATAGTTTAACCAATTTATTAATTTGATTAAGATATAAACGTATTGATTTTAAATTTAGCATTGAACTTAAGAAACTAGTGTATAAATAAGCTTAGTATACCTTGGGTATAGGGCATGTTACAGGTGGTGATATTCCTGCCTTCTCCCAAAAGCTGATCCATATTGAGGGTACTGACAGCATCATGTCTTGGCACACATTTATAAATTTGAACAAAAATGCTTGTTCGATCCAATTGCCATTACTCTTTTCCGAAACTGATACAAGTGCCTAAGAAAAATATTGTTTTATGTTAAATTTCATACAGTATTACATTAGTAATTCATTGACAGGATAAGTTAAATGGTTGACATTACTATAAGTCGTTTGAATACCTGATTGAAATTTGTTTGATGTCAATTACCGAAAGATTTAATTTTTTCTAAGGACTAGGAAAATTATGTTGTAAACCAACCCTACTTTGTACGGCAGAATAAAGTAGCGTAGTTTTTCTCACTCTATCAACTGTATCTATCTAAAACTTTATTTGAGGTCAAGTAGTCTATGCAAGAAACACGAAAACATATGCTTCAGGAGTCTTATTACTTGTTAATCTAATCAAATATTAACGTGTTACCATGTTTAGCATAGGTACATATTGCTAAATGAAAACATTTTTTTAAAGTTAAACACTGAACCTTTCCACAACAATAAGCATTATATTTAGTTTGCGAAACACATACAGGTATCATAAATCATTTATAAAATAAGTCTTGTATTTGTTTGTTTGTCGTACATTTGCCATAACATGTAGCCCAGTCTCTATATTGTCTTGAATCCAACTTTCCATAGTCAGGTGTGCAAACAAAGTGAAGACTTGTGAACAGGTGTTTTAAAATAATTACACCAAAACAACTCAAATAAATGGTGTTATCATACAGATAGAGTAAAATATGTTTTATGAAAATCCAGATACATTTAGACTTTTACTGTAATTATTAAAAAGATTGTAGATATGTACGAAAGATTTCACATTGGCTACTAATTTTCACTAGTCACACCAGTCGTCATCAGGCCCAGTTCGAGAGAACTTTAAAGATAACTTGAAGATACTCAACTTAAATCTTATGGAACATTTTAGACTTCTTCCAATAGCTTCCCAACCAAAAAATGTTAATATTTTTGACGTTTTAATTACATATCAGATTGGGCTTGATGATGACTGGGTAAAATTAATAGCCTACATATTTTATAATTTTCACCTTTTATACCATTATTAAATGATAAGTGTAAATATGTTGTGTGGAAAATATAATAATACAAAGTTGCAATGTTACAAAGTTTGCAATAATACCGACACGGAAGTGCTGTTGATTTTTAAAAGCTTTTACATGGGATTAGATTTGTTTTAACTTAGCAGGTTAGCTATCAGAAATTGAATACTCACCGACACTTTCTCGTCCATCGGGAGGTTCAGGGTAACGTTGCCCTGAAGTACAAGATTCTTTCTTGAGACTCGGTTCAACCGTAGATCCCAGACTACATCCTTTGTTCCTTGATTTGCACATTGGTGAACCTCATCAAAGATAATAAACTGCCTGCTCTGAGGTTTCAATAGCAAAATGTAAATTAATTAATTCCTTTTTTATTAATTATTTATTACAGTTTAGTTCTGAACCTAAAATATTTAATCTACCTCTGATGCAATACCCCAATATTGAAAAAAAAACTCCCTTTTAAATGATGCTAAAAATATAATAGCTTGTCAAATCAACAACAAAGAGTACAAATAAACTTCATTATGATTGACTTACATGGACATAGAGGTTGCCCCTTCTCAATCAACAACAAATGGTATTTAAAAATTTTTTAAACAATTTAACCTTGTTGTAATGTAGAAGTTTTTATTTACCCTACTAGTTTTTTTGTTTTACTGAACCAATAGAAAACTCCCAATTTCTATGTGTTGGTAGCAATGATAGGTTTTAGCATTTTAAACTTAATGTTTGAATACATTTTGGCTATTCAGTGGAACCTCAATAAGAAGAACCTCGATAACAAGTCACCCTTGACATTTTCAAATCCCCTAAAATTTATTTTACCCCTAATCACATGTTATAACAAACCTCAATAGAAGTCGACCTTGATATAAGTCTTATTTTATAATCCCCATGAGAGTATTCTTATGAGATTCTACTGTACTTTGAAGCACCGTTCTCACTACCTTTTTTAGCCTAGGTTTATCCACTGAGGATGCCACTTAAAGTAGGGGCAAAATTTTTGGCAATTTAAATTCGAAGGCGGTGCTATTGAATTGAAAAAAAAAATATAAACCAGAAGTATACATATACAGGTTCCCAATATCAAAAACAGTTTTAATAAATATCTTAGGAATACATAGGCCTACACTTTATTTTAATTTTAAAAACTTAAGAATATTTTTGAATAGTATTAAGTTGATGTTCTTTTGTGATTGGGTAATACTGAAACTGCAATAGCCACTAACATTTTCATTGCAGTTATGTACAGTAGTAAAAAATTAGAATTTAAAGTTAAATGCTAGACTTAGACAGCATTAGCGTTAAATGTGTTAATACACAGATATTTTACACACACATATATTTTAAAACTGATAAATATATTATGGGTAATACAAAAAATAATATATTATCATTACATGTTATATATTTTGGGTAATATTATATATTATGGGTGGGTAACTAAACTATCTAAAAACCATCCCACCATTGTTGTTTTGTGATAATAATACTAAGAAGTAATTATGATCTAGTAGGTATTGAATGAATTATAATTAAAAACATCTTAATTATTTTTCTAATTTTACATGCAATAAAACAACACATATTTTTTACGATTTATTTCTAATACTATGTTAATGAAAAATGAAATTTTAGGTGTAAATTTGATCTTACCAACGAAAAAGGGAATTGTTGATGCGATATTAGTGGCAATATTAAGAAAGTACAAATAAACTGTAACAGCTTCATGACTCCTGTGATGCCTCTAGTACTCAAAACTAACCAGGGACAGTATTACTATATCTGATGAAAACAATTATTACTGTGTTGTATGAGGTCCATTTCCTTGTAGAGATCATATCTGAAAAAGGATGTCAAATTAGTTTGTCATCAGTACTGCTTTAACAATTTGTCACAATTGAATTTTATCCTTACTTTTAAATTATTAACATCAGTTAATCATAATAAGGTAGGACCAAAGATTAAGCAGTGATTGCCAAATAGTAAAATTAGTTTAAAGGACCATGAAAATATACTTCCTCCTCCCTCTTTTGTAGCATGTACAGTAATTTTTTGGATGAATATACTATGTTCAACAATTGATATGGGGGTGAGTTAGTCTATTGGTTAGTGTGTGAGACTTCCTGAAGGTCCTGGTCCAAGTCCTGCCAATCACCAATGGTGTTTCACTATGTGTTAATATGACAAATTGGTGGTATGAGCCAATATTAATCTCCAGGTCCTCTTATCTAAAAAACAAAAAAAATATAGTATAGGATTCTAAGGAGTAACTTTATCTATTTTATCCTTCGCTAATAGTCACACATGAAATTATTAGCTAACTCTTGCCATTAAAGGGGGCGTTTCGTAAGTAATCCTAGACATTCCATCCCCATGTTCAATTTGTAGCGAGCTTTTTTTATCGTAGTTGACGTGAGCCACCTGCAGATTGTGCTGATCTAAATTACTAAATTCTGCCAAATACACAATCTTTTTAACCAAGTCAAACTTAGGGAATGACTTATGGTGAGCTATAGCAACTCTTTTGACCCATCAACCTGGTCAGCAACCAAAAATAAGGTATAAAATATAATTTTAGACACTAGCGCATTCTGTGACTGGCTCATACAACTATGTTCTTTTTTAATAACAAATTAGCTACAGCTGGTCCATATAGATGGGAAGTCTACATAGTCAAAGGTAATACTTTCAATGGAAAATACTGTGGAGCATAAAAATTGTGTTAAACAACCCATTGTGAATTTTGAGGAGAAAGGAGATCGCTGGATTTTTGTCCTTGAGGTCTAGGGTTCAAATCCCATCAATCATAAATCGATTTTTCTAAGTGATAATGCCGAAACTTAGGTCTAGTTTTAAGTAATGTGTAAAAAGATTCCATACCATAGCCTAAAACAAAAAAATGTTGGCAGTAAGTTAATCTTTTTTTGGATAATGTTAGGCCTAATTGACTGACCATTATGTTACTATTCTCAAATTGTTATCATAAACTTTTAATTTTTATCATTAGAACACCAAGATTTCACCCTTCATGTAATAAACTTTTAGTTGTCGGAGGGGGGGGTGGTCGAGATGCATGAGTAAAGATCGGAAGATATATACAAAACACAAACTGTTTAAAAGAAGATCAATAACTTACTTTGCTGTATCTGTTATGCATATTTTACAGTATTTTATTGCTAGGGGATGATGTATTTGTTAACAATACCCCTGCAGCAAACCTGCAGACTAAGCGAATTTCCTTCTACCTGGCTGGAATTCCACTAAATTATTCTCTAAAAAATGGTCTGATTTATTTACTATTTACATATCATTAATTTTGATGAGTACTTAGGATTGCTGCTACAGGGAAGATGATAGGGGGGTTTTATTGAAATATTGATAGCGTAGTATGAAGTAAACAAAATTTCAAAATTTCATTAAATATGTCCATAGACAAGCTATCAGCTACATCAGTCTATTTATTCTCCATAAGAATAACATGGTAATTTTAAATTCACACTTTTTTGGGATTTTATCTGTAACCGTTAGACATACAACAATGGCATTACATTAATTTATAATCTATTTTATATGGCTCTAACTTATTAATTATGGAGAAATATAATCAGGAGTGATATAACAAGCCCCTTCAACTGGAGCCTGTTTTAATTTCTATCACGAATTCAACAATCTTAATTGTTTGTGGAAAACTTTGGTCATTTGAAATACAGCTTCTCATTTTGGTTTTTAACCACCCCCCCCCCCCGCATGCACAGTTAAACCAGTATTAATTTATTTGCATAAGTTTCCTTTAAAACAGTTCAACATTAAATAACTCTCTCCCTCTTGGACTGAGCTTTGAAAATTATATGTGAAAGTAATATAATCAATTTAGTTATGACATAAGGTAAATGCACCAGTAGCTGACAGTGCTCCAGAAGCTGACAGTTTGAGTTTCTTAACATTATAATGTGTCTCTTAAAAATATTTACACATGATTGCATTGTTAGAAGAACATATGTTTATTCTTGATTTGTTCACAAAAAATTCAGTGAAATTTAGCCCATACTCGCTGAATGGTGGTGGTTTGAAAGCGACCCTGTCTGTACATATCACATTAAGTCGATTCCCTTAATGAAATTGTTAAGAAAGTAAGTTTGGTTTTTTGTCATTTTGCTAAATTTCTTAAATAGTACTAATGATTAGGCTCATTATTTTTATCAATTATACCTTTGTTGACAATTTCATGATAAAATTGGGGTGTTAGGGGTTTTTGATTTAAAATTATATCAATGTCAGGCTTTGGTACACAAAAGCCATACAAGTTCCACTAGCTGACAGGGGGATATTTGCTGCTTGCACAATATTAAATTGGTTTTACCCATAGAAATTTGCATGCTATTTATAATTTATGCGATCTCATATTTTTATAAAATGATTTAAATTTTTTAATTAATAAGCCAAATTATCTTAAAAAAATTATTTTTTGTTAAATATATACATTTTTTAATGTAAATATTTTTTATTTTAAAATATATCAAATAAATTTTTTTAATAACGTTTTACATAATTTTATAATTTAATTATTAAGTTAGATTTTATTCGTCTTATAAATTATAAAACCCTTAGGTTTAGCAGCTATATAGTAGGCCCTATATAGTCATTTATAGTTCCAGTGTCAGCTACTGGGACAACTGACAGTCAGCTACTGGTACAAGCACTTTTTTCACTGTCAGCCACTGGAACACGTACAAAGGTTGAATTAAGTTTAAAAATGTTATAAAATATATTTAAAAACCCCTTTTTGTATGACAAATTTGAAAACTACACTAAATTTAGAATCACATAAAATCCGTTATATCTCTTTAGTTCCTGTTTATTAAAAACCACGGATTATTAAGTGCGTATAGTTTCTTATACTGTCAGCTACTGGTGCGTTTACCTTAGAATCTACAAAAATATAATAAAATACTACGACCAAGAATACAGTATAATCATTATTTTTGTAACGTTTGGTTATCTTAAAGGTCCTTTTCAGTTAATTCATTTTCCCTGACTGAAGAGGACAGTCCAAAACAGCCTCAGTCCAGTAGGATTTCAGCTACTTCATCACGAGAACAAACTACCATTAATTTTTACTATTGCAATTCCGTTTTTTCACTACCAGAATTTTTAATACAGTAATTAGCAAGTTTGGTTGATTCGGTTAGTTTAGAATAGTTTAATTTTATAATGTATATATTCAATTCAGGGTGTCCACATTCTGTCAGGGATGGTAATGGAAAGTCATGGAAAAACATTCTGGTCATTTAAAGTCATGGAAATAGGCAAAAAGTCATGGATATCCCCAATGATGGATGGATTTCAGGGGACCTTTCAATGCTCTAGTCGGCCGTAACCCCGACTATTGTAGTATTTTTCAGAATATTTCACAAATGTAAGACAATTCAATTTATAGAGTTGTATTAGTTTATGGGTTTTGATTTTGTATTAGTTCATTGTTGTAGGCTACCTATTGTACTCCATTGTAATCTGTTAATACATATTTCAGTATCTTTTTTTATAACTTTTCTTGGCCGTATTCGTGTGTGTACGTTATATTATAATTTTCGAGTAAAGTTCGTGAGTCATGAAAATCAATGGTAACAAAGAACAATGGTCATATAATGGTCATGGATAAACATGGAAAGTCATGGAAATTAATGACAAAATTTCTGTGGACACCCTGTGACTAGGCTAACTGTTAAAAATATCGGAATTTCCATAAAGAAGTAGTGGTAGTGAAAACGGAAAAGAATCATCATAAATAATACATTGTACGGTCATTTATGACTGTTGTATCTTTATTTATTAACTAGAATGTTATTTAAAGCAATATTAAATTTTATTTCAATTTAACTAGATAATATAAAAATATGCATGACAATGAATTAAATATCGGAAATACAATGTATAAACATAGGTATTTCCAAAGAACCCAGTAAGGCTGATTATCATTCTAATCTCGATGCCTACTGATGAAGTCGTCGCAGGCACTACGGCTACCTAGGCAACCGCAACTACACTCCGACAGCCGGAGTCGAACTGACAGGTTAGTCAATGCTAAACCGGTTTTAGGAAAATTACGATATTATTTCCCTGTTTTGATCCGACCAGTCGCGTTCGTGGTGTGGAGTGGACAGTGTTCAAGTGTTTTAGTTCGATTTTCGCCCGCATCATGTGTTTCGCTATCGGATATGGGTCAAAATCCCCTGAGTGATAAATAGTTACTTCGGCCACTAGCTCGTCATGGGTACAGACTTGTTTACGGTACGTTAGATTGTTGTGATCCTTAATTAAGTGACCAGTGGCAGAATGTGCGAGTTCCGCTCAGGATCAAGGACGAATGTAAGGATTCCAATAATTAAGTGGAGAGTTCAATCCTGTGTAGGATGTTTGTGTTATTTATCAAGAAAGTACACTTGTTTTCTTGCGCACATGTGCTTTGATTCTGTTTTCGTTCATTTTAAGTTTGCAGATTTGATAACCTCTGTGGTAAATATGTAAAATATCCAAATATTGATACAGTTTTGTCCTTATTACTGTGAACCCCAGTTGTACCGGTATCGTTTCCCTGGAAAATTCCTAGGATTCTAGAATTTTAAGGTTAATAATGTCAACAATTCTAGCATACTTGGTTATTTCCGAGTATAAATTTATTTTCAACGAACACTGGACTAATTATAATAAAGTTGCTTTAATTATCATATTATTGTTATTGAAGAACCGCAGATTTACAAAATTAGGTCTACTATTACCTATGTGTAAACATTTGTTTAGAATTAAGATTTTTCAGAAGCTCATTTTCTTTAAGGTGATAATAGTAGTTTCTGTAACACTGTATTATTCAAAATCATACTCAATATATTGTTAATAATTGGTGTTACAGTTAGTTAAAACAAAATACCTTTCAAGATGATTTTAGAAGTTTTCCCAGTCCATAGAAAACTGCGTATGTGTCTTGGCCGTGTCAAATATCGTGTGAAATATTGTTTTATTGACCCATCGACAATTAAAAACCCTTTAATAAAGATGACTTATTCGCTAAATAAGCATTTTGTTTTCATACTTTACACGACAGCTCAAGTTATCAAACGTATTTATAGGTTATGTTGAAGTAAGAAAACTAGTAAGTAAGAAATCTGAGGCACTCGTTGTTGACTTATCATTTTAAGTTTGAGGCTCTGTTTAATAGACGGACTATTCATGTTTACCTGGTGAACATTCGAACATGTGAACATTGCGAACACAAACTAGGTAGTAACTTAAAAGGGCAGTAATTGAAAGAGTATGTTAGCTATAGGTCTAAGCTTAAAGCAAAATGGCACTTACAATTTATATATTTATGTAGATTCAACTAAAATCAACAATTCCTTTGCAAAATCGGCGGTTTTCGCGCCGTTAATCCAATTTTTAAATTTGAAACTGCGTATTTACCGATGAAACAGTTTAAAATATTGAATTTCAAACTATACAAGTAGTTGTTTGCCTTCCCCTGTAAATCATTACGAGATGTAAGGATAAAACAGGATAGGTTGCTTTGCCGTCCAAAAATTAAAGTTTTTTTTTTACATTAAACGTAATAACAAAACTAAACAACACTGCAAGTTCGCACAGAAAACAGGTAAAGTTACAATCTATCAGGTGATCCCTATTGAGTATTTAGATTACATTACTTAATACTGTACCTATCCTCATACTCTCAAAAACTCATCAAAACAACGAAACGGGCTTAAATATAATTCGTGTACAGCTTCAGATGCCGGTTAGGTAGTGCATAAATGAATTTAACTTACGCATTATTTTTACTTATAAGGTTGTTAATGAATATTTTACATATTTGGTCGTGGTGTAGCATTTTTATACTGTAAAAGTATCATCGGGCATCAAAGAGGAAGGTATAATAAATACCCACTACTCGCTCTCTAATAGCCTACAATGTATAATTTATGTACATACATATATGTAAAGTTTTACAATGCTCTCCCGGAAAGTGTTCGGTTGTTGCGGAAGTCTATATTTACTAAAATTGTAAAACATTTGCTCGAAACGAATCCTTTTTATGAATTTGTTGAATTTTATGGTGCTCTGAAGGCTGGCCATTGTTTTAATTTGTAATTTTATTTATATACTCAGGTATGTGACACAATTTCATTTTCTTTTTTTTTGCCATAACTGCACGGTTTGCTGCTTTGTTTGGTGTGTGAGATTAACTAATTTCAGCATGGTTTGTAATGGTGAACATTTAGTTTATTTATATACATTGGTTTGATTTATTTTTAGCGTAGTTTTGACGTTACCTATTGTATTTATTACTGAATAATACAATAAATCTCTTGAATCTCTCATATGATGTTTGCATTTAAAGAGATAATGATTCTTGCTATCCCCGAGAAAAACTTCGTTCTATGTTTTTTAGCGAATTTACCAGGGAATAAGCTATTACCGCAGGTCTCATGGTAAGACCTAGACCCACGGGTTCGCGAACCAGCATAATCGGACTATGGGAACGGGGGTCTATGGGGGGTTTTATGGGGTAAAAATCGAGTTCTCCCATTTTTGACCCTAAACACAAAATTTCATAATTTCTCTCCAAACCATTTTGTAGAGCTTAAAAAAATTAATAATTTTGTATATTGAAGCGTTGTTGTATGCCCAACGGTTACGGAGATAATTTAAATAATATTAAATTTAAAATTCCCATGTTATTCTTATGGAGAATAAATAAACTGTTGTAGTTTGCTTGTTTATGGATATATTCAAACCAAATTTGGAAATTTTGTTATTTAATACTAAGCTACCTATCGACATTGCAATAAAAACACACATCTCAACATCTTCCCTGTAGCTGCAAACCTAAGTACTCACTAAAATTATTGTTAATTAAATAGGAAATAAATCTGAAAATGTTTAGAGAATATTTTATTAGAAATCCAGCCAGGTAAATGGAAATTCGCTTAGTCTGCAGGTTTGCTGCGGCGAGGGTATTATTCTCAAACTTATGACCTTGCTAAGCTCTCTGATACTTATTTTATGATCTGCGAGGCATTTAGCAGTGAATTTGTGTAGTCTACGTGATCAACAGCCTTATTGTTGATTTAGTTTGTAGCTTTACGCTCTAAGTTGTTTTTATGTGGCAGTGAGTGGAATGATTTTGTTGATTGCATTAACTGCTGTTATCACTTCAGAAAAGAAATGTTCTTGTCTCGAATAAAAGATAAGTCAAAACTGATGCGTTTTGTTTCTGCAGTCGAAAATTATAAAATAAATAAATTAATATTCAGCTGTGTGAAAACCAAATGTAATCAAAATAGCTATAGATTATTATAGGTACTTACCTTCTCGCCAACATAAAAATACTAGTGTTTAGACTCGCAACATGTTTCGCCTATTAAGGCATTGTCAAGTTATGTAATTTCCGAAAACAAATATGATTTATCCGATAATAGACTCTTCATTGATATGAAAATACACACGTGGGACATAACACGCACGAAAAACCATGAACATTTAAGTCTACTCTTAAACGGTCGTGGTACGCTAACAACAGAATAATAAATCTATACACTTAAAACAACATTGTAATTGTCTCAAACATTCATTCTTATCTTATTTTCATATTGTCATGTTTTCTTAATTGTTTAAACTTTTAAGCTACAAAGTAGTCTTTAATCTACCCTGCATTATTGCATTATTCGTCATACCTCAGAGATATGGTTTACCCTAGTAAAATGAGAAATTGGTGCAAGTGTCCCCTCGTAGTAATAATAAATTATCAACAGTAAACAAGAAATAAATCTATCTTCGTAACATTAATGGTGACATAAAATTGATAGAGTTTAGATTTTTAGTTTATTAAGTGTTTTTAAAATAGCAGTTGGTTGAAACAAACCAATAAAAAAACTAATTAAAATTTGTTTCAGTAAAACATAAAACAAATGCGTTAGACGTTTTCATTTGCACGTAACAGAGCAATTTAAGAAAAAAAACCATTTATCATAGAACTCTCTAATAAAAATGGGGAAGTATGAAAAATAAACGATTACAAATAGTCAAATGTAACTCAATGTTCTTGGACTGTGTACTTTACAGTGGCAGCCGCACCGTAGAACCGCTGAACAGCGTGCTTATAATTAAGTTTCCTAGAAGCTACGAACAGGTTATTCAAAAATCTAAAAAAATAAATCCAAGAAAAGGAAACTGTGGTATATTAGTACCTACCAACAAATAATCGGTGTCATTGAAACCCGTATTGTGTAAAATATACTTAATAGGAAAAAACCGCTGTAAAAGGCTTTCATAACAAGTTTATGCTACTTTACTAACATCTTATTTTTAATAATTGTAAATATATTAATACATTTTTTAAATTGTTAATAAATAGTTAAGTTGTGATCCTCCCGTTTGTTAATACTCAAGGTGTTATACAGGGTGTCCCGTAAGTAAACTGCAAAACTCCGGGAAAAGGTTCTATGCGTAAAAAAGGAGAAAATCAAAAATAATTTTTTTTTCCAAAATCGCTTGTTGAAAAAACACAAGGCCATTTTGTTTTTTCACATAAACATTTTTACCTTAGAGGGTTTTCAACCAATCATTATGAAGCCTAGTATACATGTTTGAGTAAAAAAGACCCACCTCATAAATTTGTTTTATCTAAATCCAATTACAAATTTTAAAATGGCGGCCATTTAAATTTTTTTAAATCGAAATTGCTAAAAATGGCTAATTTTATGAACAAATTTCTAGAACACGTTTATTTACCATTTAAAAATGCCTTTTAAACGATTAAGAAGGTCTAATTAAAAATAATTGCAAACCTGAGTAGTGTAGCTTTGTTCAGCATCATTTTACATTGTAAAATCGTGATATTTAAGTTACTGTTTAATTCGATCTTTTTGAACTTTGTGTCGTTTGATAGGCAATTTTAAATGCTAAATAAAAGTGTTCTAGACATATTTTCATAAAACTAGCCATTTTTAGCAATTTCATTTAATAAATTAGAATGGCCGCCATTTTGAAAATTGGATTAAGATATTTTTTTACGTTGGTCTGTTTTAATTTAACATATCTGGTTAACGAAGCGGTTTTGGAAAAGAAATGTTATACCTGATTTTCTCTTTATTTTGACCCATAGAACCATTTCCCGGAGTTTAGCTGTTTACTTACACCCTGTATGTTATTGAAATGTAATAATCATGTATTTCCAATTTGGTCGTATAACGTCTTATTAAATCGAATGGCATTTGTGAGCTGATTTGTGAACTAGTGATAAAAGAGGGAAGTTGGTACAATAATAATCCTACGAGGAAAGCTGCGTCAAATTCGAAGCCCGAACTTCATCTGTGACA